TTTAAATTTAAAAAATGCGAAGTACTACTTTATTTTGATGTATTTTTCTCGAGCATGTTATTAAATATAAATATAAAAGGTAGAGGATTGCGATTGCTTACCGTGAAAAAACAAGTGTGTAAAAGTAAGTGACATTTGATATCTGCTATCGTCTGTGCTGTTTGATGAGCATTAAATTCGTTCCAGGGTACATTTAATGTAGTAATAGGTCACTCTGAGAAATTCAGGGTTTCATTTTAGGTTATTATTCATTATTTAAAAAAAATTCCACGTGTGTTCACAAACCTAGTAAATTTTGAATTTTTTGTTAATTTAGGCCAGCCGAGTGGTTATTTGCAAAATAAAATAAGTGCTTATGAAAATAAAGCCAGTAGTGTTTTTTTGAAAACTAGAAATGCCATTACCTACATTTCAGATTTCAGTCTGGAGGCATATTCTCGATATCATTGGAACAAGTTTGTATACGTTTCTAACGCCATTTTGACGTAATCTTGAACCAGTGGCATAGCAAACACACGTTTATGTATGCTTGCTTCATTTGTCATAGTTCAGGAATAGGCCGCCTGTCCTGAATGTTTGTGAGCCAGTCCTGATTATACAGTCGGGCTACGGCCCTGGTAACGGATTTACTACTATACCTTTGAATATTCAAAGACTATACTAAGAGAGTGAGCATTGGGGTAACGTATACGTTATTTCCACAACTGCGAACGAACACCAGAGAATTTTGTCCTTCGTTTGCTGTTACCATCTTGCCTCAGTAACACTTGCTGTTTCGAATGTGTTGCTAGTCATTCAATCGCTGAGCATTACACATATAAAGCAGGATGATGTGCATAGGATCACAAAGAGGATACGGTACATTTTTTATTTTTATTTTTATTTTATTTTATTATCCCTCTCTTGTTTTGGGCCCTCAACAGGCATACGCCCAATTACAGAGTGACCCGCATAATGCTATTTAGAGGTGCCTCTGCAGAAGGTCTTAAGATGGTCTATACTACTCCGGTATTTACCTTACGAATTAGGAAAACTGCAGGAAAACCTAATTCGGAGTAGCCGGTAGAATGCTCGGAACTGGCCTAAGGTAATTTCCATCTCATGCGGAAACAAAATTTCAAATATTCTCTGGAAGTGATGGTGCTGTTGAGTTAACATTATAAATTTTTACCTTTTGGGAAACTATTTATTACACTCTGGTTAAGTTGACCAATTTGTTAATTGCAAATTATAAAAAAAAAAAACGAATTTTATCTTCTAATTGTTTGTCGAGAAGTATAGACGGACTGGCATTAATTTTAATTAGGTACTTCTTTTTATGGGAATGAATGTACAAATTTCTCGTTTAAATCTTTTTAATGGAGCTGAAATCCAACTGAACGTGATTTTCAATAAATACCGAGATAACAAACGCCGTCTCCCTTGCATACAGCACAGCAGTCCCGTTCAAATAAAAAGCTGGATGGGAAAAACAGGCAGATCGATATTTTTTACTTTGCTTAAATTCTGTTTTTAAACATGAAATCCGTATGATATGTAGAATTTTTAGACGTGGAGGTTTTTATTACAAATGTTCTACGGAAATCCCTAAATAACTAGGGATTATTTACTTAATTATTCAAAAATACTTTTTTATATAGCATACAATCATACCTACTCCTGTTTTAACGAGTGCTATTTAAATTCATATAATTATGATATTACAAGATGCATTCTCCCGAAAGGGGTGGTAGCTCACCCAACAACAATTACTATCGACGTCCTTACTAGCAAGATAGGAATGTAAAGATGTAATTGTCTTGCGCCACGAACCATTTCGTGAAACGTACACGAAGAAGTAAAATCCGCCAAAAGCACAAACAACGCTCTAGTCACACAAAGTTTGTGCTGAAAAATCCAATTCATTGTTTATGGTCAGCATAACACCTCACATGACGCTCTTCGGATGTTGAGAGATTCCAAACATTTCTGAGAGCTGAAAACCACGCGACTTTCTAGAAGAAGTGGACAGCTGTCTGCGCCGCCTCAAGAGCACGGACGCTTCACAGCCATGGTCTTGGCTCGAAGCTCATTTGGCCATCCGTTTAAGTTTATGGAAATTATGGAATTCCTTGATGTTTATGTAGACTGTAGGTAAACTAACACTTTTCACCGTGAAGAGACAATTACAGTAACTAAAATAGATATTACGTGTAGTAGGTACCTAATACAGTTCGATTTTTTTTTGCTGTATCTGTACTGTAGCCTGCTCGTCTCGTGCTATGGGCATTCTGACACGTATTTTCTTGTTAAATTAATTTATGTTAACGGAGGCTGGAGTAGAGCCACACCATTTTGATGTTTCATATATACATGCAATTTATCATTTTACGAGTTGTTTTATCTCAATTGTTTATACAGGTATTTAATGTGTTTTTGTACTAAATTGATTTATCATGTTTTCCACTGCATTTATGATGTCTGTGTTTTTTTGTTTTTATGAATTTGTTTAATTGCATTTAATTCAATTATCTGATTTTTATGGTATAATTTGAAATGAATTTTCTCTTGCATTTTGTTGCTGTAGTTGATTTATTTCACGTATTTGTGTGTGTTATGCTAGGTTTTGTCCCGTTTTAGAATTCCCTGGTATAGCCTTGTTGTGTGCGTATTTATTTGTTCTTGTCATTTCTTACGCACAAAAATTCTGTCTTTTATTTAATTCCTTTCCCGATTATGTCTCACGTCCCAACACGTACAAGAACCAGGTACACAACGTAGGAGTTCATTCATACCATCTATATCGGGCCGACCGCTACAGAGTTTCAAAAGTACAGCGAAACGTCCGTTGCCAACGGTAAGTATAGGGTAAGTCAACATTTTCAATGTCGGCTTGAGAGACCCCTAGGATCATTACAAAGTGACTGATCAAAATGCGAAGACTTATTCAATATACGAATTATACTGTTACACCATTATTGCGTTTTATTTTGTGTTCCTTTCCTACTGTAGCACTTCAGTTCCTAGCGTTGTTGACAGCTCCCCCAAGTGGGCCGTGCTATAGACTTTAGCTCACGGGCCATACTCTTCCATTTCAAATTTAAACGAGGGTAAGTAGAACCTAAATCCAAATTTTCATTCAAACCATTTCAAGTTACTAAAGAATATTTTGAATATTTTTTACTTACAACTATTCTAGGGGGTGGTTTTAAGGGTGTAATCCAGTAGTACAACATTTATGCGAAAATAGAGCGATTTATATTTCGTCTCAATTCTATAAAACATGAGATGAAAGACGAGGCTAATTTTTTTCGTGTAAATTATACATTTAAAAAGTATGCTACAGAACAATATTTTAATATTTAAGAAAAAACAATTTTTTAGAGCACTGCCAATAAAAAGTGAACTTTTATAGGTAAAATGGCGTCAACATAAATTATTTTAAAAATCTCTCTGTAGCATACTCAGAAAAAACATTAGCAAGCCATAGAGCCATCGACCAACCCTTCACATAAATTACAAAAAATTTTAGACGAAATATGCATTCGAAATTTTTTACGAAAACTTGCAGCGTTTAGTGAAGTCATTCACCATTTATAATTGTACAGTAGGCAACACATCATACAGCAGGCCTGACTTCATTAGCGGCATTGTTGCGTTTATCGGGACTAATTTACAAATAGAAACCGGATTCTTTAGAACGTATTATAATTCCATAATATACTGGGTATAGAATTAGTCGAAATTTTGTAACACCCCTAAAATTTCAGTGTGATACAAATTTGAGATTATTTCCCTGTAGCATCCTTTGTACAGAGATATAATTTGCGTAAAAAGCGTTAGTTCTCATTTATTTTGTGTTGTACCCGAATAAGACGATTTTTTGTAACACATCTAGAATATTAGTAAAAAAAACGTACATTTTTTTAAATCTAATTTATAGGTACTTATTCGCTTACATACGTTATTTTCCAGATAAGGTCAATACAATTCATGGAGTAATTACTGTGTTAAAAAAAATATATACGTCTTATTAAAAACTGGGAAAGTGAATTTATTGAGGATTAGCCGTTGTGACAATGATTTGCATTTTCTAATCGATGTTTAATTATATATGCATATTCGTCACAATGACTAATGACCTGGGTAAATTAGCGTAATTACTTGTTTACTTTATACAATGGTTGGGCAGGTAAATTATTCAATCTTTGTTTATTCGTTACCATTTCATTACAAGTAAATATTATGCAACCCATCATACGTCAAATAGAATTAAAATTTAAGTGGAATACACCCTTAAGTAGTACCTAAGTAACTAAATAAGAATCACTAATCGAGGTCATTAGGAACACGGTAACAATGTACAGGACAATGGCAGGTGGTTTCTTTTGTTTTCCCTTTCAGGTAAAATGAGGTCACCCCTTTAGGAGTTTTCGGTGCAACTTGAGCTGCCTATCAGTACAATAACAAAGGCGGTATTTTAAGAACGTTTGGCTGTTTGTGATGTATGGCGAAACAGAAAGCCAATATTTAAAAACCAGTAACCACATTACTATGTATAAGGTCAGGTCTCACAGGCAAAATAAAACATGTTACGGGCAATTTGATTGGAGCATTTAATAACAATTTTTATTCAATTGGAGACTGGAGTACTCAGAAAAGTTTGCAATAAAAAAGCTGTTGAGTAGACTATGTTGCATATCCGATAGGTAGATTACTGTGGTTATACATCAGTGCAGTTTTTATCCAAATGAACTGTGCATGCAGTGTGTAATTTTTTAATTTAGATTATGCTGATAGTTTATCGTTGCGATAAGTGGACAATTCGTTTATCTTATCAGGATAGGAAACCTGTTTATCGGGTTGCCTATAGGCAACCCGATAAACTATAGTCTGCGAGTTTCCTGTATAAATATTCAGTCAATTTAATCGCAAAAAGTAAAAAAGAGATGGACATATCAAAACGCAATTAGAGAGACGACGACGGCTGCGACAAATGAACACTCGTGCTGGTGACGTCAATTGCATCAACCAATAAGAGAGAGCCAAATACTGTCAGTCAATTTTATGTTGTTAAATAAATATAGAAATTACTATCCAAATAGCTGATGAAATATTAGTAATTAATACATTAAAGTCGCGTACTTTGTGCTTGTACAGTCCTAGAATCAATAATCAAAGTGGAGTCAGAACGAGAAAATAACATGGAAGCATTGCCAGTGACGTTAATAGTTAAAGCTCCTAATCAACAAATAGAGGATCAAACTATCAAGTGCGAACTGTCATGGACTATTAACAAATTAAAACAACACCTCTCCGAGGTTTACCCTAGTAAACCAGTAAGTACTGACAATTCTAACCTATAACTTTTATTATTATGAGTTTTTCAGCCGAAACACGAACAGAAGCTAATATATTCCGGTCAATTGCTGCCCGATGCGGTCGTCCTCGGTGATGTTTTAAGACAATACGAGGGACAAGAAACACACACTGTCCACTTGGTCTGTACGACACGACAAAATTCTCCCCTACACAACAAACCTTCCACGTCACAAAGTATGCCTGATGCTTCGACTAGTGCCGAGATACCTCCAACAAATAACGAAAACCAGCAACAACATGTTCCTAATTTTCAATGGAATACCACGCCTATCGATGTTAACCAATACGCAATGCAAATGGCCTGGATGCAACACGCATATATGCAATATATGACTCAGTATATGAACTCGTAAGTTTATTTGTAAATAATGCTATTACGGAATCTAATTTCGCAAAGGTTAATGATTAAGGTCTTATTAATCTTTCTAAATTTGTGTCTGCATCAAAAAAGTTCAGCAGTAATGATGTAGTGTTACATGTTGCCACGCAGAAAGTTTCATATAAAACAGTTGATAACATTAATTCAGTTATGCATCAAGGACTTTTTTTCAGTAAAGTTAGACAGTCAATTTTCCATCTTCCAACTCTAATTATAACAAAGGGAATACAAAAGTCATTAATTTACCTAATCTGATAGGAGGAATCAAATGTCTCTTGGCGTATCTCCCAATTTTGTAGATAAAGAATCAATTGAGAAATACTAACGTTTGCTTGGCATAAACAACTGAAAGTGTGTCAACATTTTTCATAGCCTACTTCTCTGAAATATGGTTTTGATGTGAAGGGTTAAGCAAATGTGGATTAGATGAACTTTGGGCAATGGACTGGAAATATTTGTCCCCCTAGAAAACTCACCAACAAGTAAATACATTTCGAATTCTTGCCCCCCATTGAGTTGACCTAGTTAAATTTTTCCTCGAGAAATATCACGAGAAAGCTCCAGGGCAAAAGAATTACTAATAAAATTCGTCCTCTAGATTCTAGAACATCGTGATCTACCTAAACCGCTTGCTACTGTGATTACTACAGCTTTTCTAATCACCATCTGCGGACCTGAAAATGTGGACTGTGCGCGGTTCCACAAACCTGTAATGGATATTCTGAGAGCGAACTCTTAGGGGGACAAGTTTTCGAACCTTTTTCTGTTCTGACCTGGCAGTTTATGACCAAATATTGACACTTAAAAAAACATCTAGGTACAGTGATATTTATTAAGAAGTAGACATATTTAAAACATAAAATCTCTTCTGAAGGGCGCTTAATTTTATGCATTTAAAGTAACTTATTAAAACAAATGAGGATCTGTCATATTTATTAATTTGAGTATTGTTTTTTGGCTTCAGTATTTTTATTTTCGTTCGTGTGCGATGTATTGAACTGAAGAAAAAGTTGGTATTGTCAATTGGTATAATGCCGCTCACAATCTAAGGAGCGTAAGAGATTTATTTATTGTCTGTGAAGCCAAAGGAGGAATATTCAAATCTCGATTCAAATGAATCAATATGACAGCCAGATCTTTATTTGTTTTAAGAAGTTGCATAAAATTAGGCGCCCTTCAGAAACGATTATGTCATTTAAAAGTAGACATAGGGAAAAATCGCTATGTCTACTTCTTAATGAATATCGCTGTATATGAGACAACAGTTATTGACCGGCCTAAAATAAAAATTTGCAAACGGATTTATAGATCTATTAATTACTGAATCGTTGTCTCTTTCAGATCACCAAGTGTTCAATTAAACAGAAACACAGATGCACAGGAGGCAGTAAGAGGAGATGCCCCCGAAGCACAAGACCCACAACAGGCACCTGCACAACCTCCACGAGATCAAGAGAACGGCGACAGAGACTGGTTGGACCTCTTCTACGTATTAACTAGAGCCATTATTTTAATAAGTATAGTCTACTACTATTCCACCTTGTTACGATTTGTTTTTGTCTTATCTCTTGGTGTCGGAATATATCTGTACCAAATCGGCTTCTTTAGAAATCTAAACAATAACAACAACAATCATAATAACAACAACAACGTGAACGCGGGCGAAGAAATTGAAGATGTTCCACAGTTCTCAGTTTTAACAACAGTTTGGACATTTTTTACTGCATTCTTCACGTCACTAATTCCAGAAGTTCCTCAGGCTGTGTAGCAGCCTCGTTAAACGTTATTTTTAAATTTAGAAAATGGATTATTAATATCATCTTTCATAATAAAAACGTGGTAAATTCAAGGTATAGCTCGAACTTGCGTAAGGTAGTGTTTTTTAAAAGAATGAGTACACCAAATATTAAATGTTCCCAGTGTAACATATGATATTAAGTACTGGTTATGAATTAATGTGTAACACATTTGATAAATTACTATTGTACATATTTTATATTAGAAAATTGTGATTAATAATTGTAAGTATTATAAATAAAAATATATTTGCTTTAGTTAAATTTATTTTTTTATTAGGAAAGCCCTGAGGAATGGTTACAATCGAGCATGTTATTAAAAATTAAATTTTTATTCTTCCTTTGACGAATGTTGTGCATCGGTATCTCAAAAATGAGACCTTGCTTATTTTAAGCGAACACCCTATATATTATTTCATTTTCAGATTCTATGTACAATTTTATACAAATTTCATGTAAAATATAATGTCCCATATGTTCAGCACCTTCTGTGGGCACTTTTTTTCCAAGAATTTGAATCTGTTATCAGAATTTCCATAATTTCTTAAGGCTATATAATACAATTTAATGATAATACCATTGATTTGTTTATACAAGTATGTATAATCAATGATAATAATATGCATTTTCTTGTATCTATTCTAATATCGTTTCTAATACAAGAAAAAAATGTATAGTGCCATTCAACAAACAGTTTCCGGTTTCAAATTTCATTAATCTTAGTTGATCAAACCCACCTTTCAATTTCCAACCCTAGATCAGAGTTCAGAAAGTATTTTTTTAAATTTTTATTCGTTATTCATGCGCGAGTGAGAACGATAAACTGATAGGCAAACACCATTGTATGGTTATTGGCAGATGCGCAATGCGAACTTTCTTTCTTTGAAATCTTAACCATAGATACTTTTAGTATAAAGGAAAACATAGCCATAGCCTTTTGGGAAATACTGATAAAAGCATGGCAAATGCGCTAGCCTTAGGGCGAAACCCTTTTTATTTGTTTATTCAATTACCTATGACATCGCGTTGTTTAAGCTTTGACTTGGAAGTTAAAAACTATAACTCCAAAAGATCTCAGAAATGCAATAATTATATTTTCATTAATAATTAATCCGTTTGCACGCCCAAATTTTCCTCCCAATTAATGACTTCTGGATTCTGGTATTTACATACAGGTGCGGTTCATCTTTGTGCCTGACACCAACCCCAGGGTTGAACTCCCGGTCGCAGGTCATATATCGGTTATTATATAAATGGTAATAAAAAAAGTCAAGACTGTGGAAGAAATAAAATGAACAGTTGCAAATCCATTATACAGTCAAATTTTTGTATATGCCACATATTATCTATATAATTATTAACTTTAAAAATTTAGTTAATGATATCAGTAAATTTCAGCTACAACATTTATTTAACTTTTTTTTACTTATTTAACTACATTCAATAATGATACACAACACCTAGGGCTTTGATAAATCTTCAATTTTGTGAATCTATATCGCTAATTGTAATGTTTCGGCTACCATCTTCAGATGACAATAAACTTTCTTCACGAGGTACATCAACTGGCATTTCAGACTCTTCCATCACATTAGAAGACACCAATTGTGTGTCATTTTGCGTGCTTTCAGTATGATTTTGACTACGAGGCACTTCGGGAAGTACAAAATCAGGATCAACAGGTTGTTGGTTTTGACTGACAGAAGGGCTCACATCGACAGGTGCAGAGATAATCATTTTCTGCCTTCTGATTCTCTGAGCACGTTCACGGTTTATTCGGATTCGTTCCAACATCTCCGACGTAATTTGATTGGCTGGTTCCTGTGTAGGTGCGCTGTTAGCATTTGATTCTTCACGAGAGAATAGCGTGTCGAATGGTTCACTCGCTGTATTCTGAGTGTCATTGGTTTCAGTTTCATTCTCGTCGTCATCAGCATTCGGTATTGTACCATCGATATCGTCGAACAGCAAATTCATCCTGACTCTCTTGATATAAGTCTGTAAGCATGAAATTAGAGAAAGCCAATGATTACAACCACAAACCTGAACTTCTCTTTTTTTGCCTAACCGCTCAATTCTATCCAGGCAGTCGTCGAAGGTAAACTTGGGAAAGAGACGATGACACCAATACTCATATCCTCTCATCAGACTATTTAAATCTTCCTCCTCGTGACCGCGACCTTTGAATTTGATTTTTTTCAAAATACCTTCCACTGTTTGTATTCCTCTGGGTCCTTTCAATCTGTCTGCATTTAATTTCGGTTGCGGGTTACGCACTCGTTTTACTTTCGCTTCTTGCTTTTGTGCATTTTCACCATCGCCATTGGCATCTTCTTGCGCTTCCACATTCTCTGTTTCCTGAAGGACTTCACCTTCTCCCGGTTCTTGTATTACTTCCAATTCGTTCTCGTCTTCGCTTCTAATCTCGCCGCCGATGTCTTCATCAGAAGAGAGTTCATCTGCCATTTTGCCGCCTTTTTAAGACACGATTGAGGTTATGTAAATGTTGTAGCAGAAAATGTTGTTTTATATAAATTCGTTCATTTCTTCTTCATTATTTGTTCCGTTGCTTTGCACGCGAGTTAAATTATTGAAAGGACTATTTATTTCGTTGATGTTTTTCAAAAATGATTGTAATAGTTTCTTATTAAGTTTATCTGTTAACGTTATTTCATGCGTAGGTTTTTGGTTTTGATTTTCTGGTATTTTTGAGATATTTGTGTTTATACTTAAATTTTGTTCACAATTCATTCCAGGCATTTTTTTGTTTAATTTTGGACAATTTAGATTGAATTTTGTACTTGGTAGTTGAATTGAAAATCCGACGTTGCCACTTCTTACTTCATTAACAATGGAGGAAACGCCCGTAAGATATATAGGGCGTGTGATAAATGTTGTGGTTATGTCTGATGTCGGATTATACCTCTATTACAGATCGAAAAAGGGAAATTATCTGTATAAGCAACCCTAAGTCACCGAATAGTAGCTTGCAATCCCCTTGTTAACCCATGAAATTAATTCTACATGTCCCAGTAGCGATTGGCCTTCCACGAGTGGAAAAAGTTGGTTATTCGATCAATGCTCGAATCCAGTACAACTTCACTAATCTGGACAGATACTTATATTTTGAGCGATTGTCGGATTGGTGAAGTATAAATAAGGGGTCTAATGACATAAGACTACCTATTTGTATTGTTATGAATAAATCCTCTGTTCTCTGACGGGTTGAGGCGATTATTAGATGGCTAACTACTGCGAATAGATTTTTGAAATGTTGTATGAGTTCTTCGATAAGACCCGTTTCTGCTATTTCCTTTGTTTTATAATAGCGTTTTCGATTGGCAAAACTCGTACTGCACGAGTGTTGCACGAGAAACTGAAGAAATCCATATGAAAATTGCTCTCAATGGAACATTGATTTACATTCGTAAATATTTGTTGTCATTAGTCATTTGTCCATAACCTCATTTTAGATTTAGGTAATCGACAAATCTCTATTCTAAAAAATGACAAACGATTTCAGTATTATTTATGATAAACGATGAGGAATATAAATTTGAAATTCCTGTAAAGGACCAATTTTTGTCGTTCAGTTTAATGAGTAAGTGCAACTTTTTGTAAAATAGAGGTTATGGCTAGTTCATCATCTTCGCTATCGCTAGATGACGACAAAAAACTCTCCCAACGCAAGAAACAAATTCAAATTGTCGCACGTTTGTTTTGAAAATTTGTTAACTAGAAGCTCCACGAGCTCCCGGACCTCGTGCGTCGAAATTTGCACTGAGTGCGTAATTGTTGCATCACATTTGCCAATGGAACACAGAAAATTGCCCTAAAATTACCAATAGAACGTAAAAATTGCACTCGTGCAGCACGAGTTTTGCCAATCGAAGACGCTATTAGACTTCTTACACAGGTAGTTGGCTTACACGTCATTATTTTAAATGCTATGTCTTAACTTTTATTCATTTTGTAAATTACGCAAAATTTGGAGTAAGTTTGATAAAAGAACCTAAGTCGAGTGGCTTTTGAGTTTCTTCAACGATTTGGGAAATTGTAACCCTTCATAAAACTCTTTTTATAAGATAAACGAGGTAAACCCAATATATTCAGTACCTACCTATTTGGTTAAATAACGCATGTATAGTTATACTGTTCAAAAATTCATACCAAATTTCGTAGTTTTGAAAATGGGAGGGAAAACTATATTGTTTCAAATGCAACCTCCTTTTTTCACCAATAGACCGTACACTAAAAATTGAGAGTAATTACGTCCCTATATCTAAATGAATGATTTTTGTAAAAAAAATTAACCACCCTACGAAATAAACCATTTTGGACAAAACTGTACATACAATAGGGCTAAATTTTCATAAATTTGTCCGGATTAGTTTTCTAAATGATTGCCTCAATTTGACAGAATTTTTAATAGCTCGCATTTGCAAGGGTGCGAAATTTTTGGAAAAATGTTACAAAAAGGTGGAACAGTGCAAAAAATCAGAAACCTTGAATTTTCAGTTGAGGTTAATAATAAGAAAAGTTGCGCATTTAAAGACCAAGTACCATGATGTAAAGAAAACCAGAATATTCCGAAGATATGTCAGAAAACATTCAAACAAAATCGCCAAATTTCGGTTTTTCAGGCATATCTTCCAAAGTAATAGGAATTTTTTGGTTTTCTTTAAAGTATGATAATAACTCTTTAATTACGCATATTTTCCCTAATGTAACTCTCGTATTTTTATGGTCTCGGACAACCCCATAATAGACATCTTGGACACAGTGCATAGTAGGCGGAGTTCAACATATTGACATAAGCTAGCCAATGTTGCTCTACCACTCAACCTAGTGAAATACTATTCCGTGACCGTGACTTACGACTAACAAATAACCAAAATGAATGACAGAAATATTTACCTACTGTCCGTTTGCATCGAGACGAGTTCAATAGTTCTTGAATAATTTCAGGACTATTTTTAACCATTAAATTTAAATCATACGATTCCAATTTGAAACTGCAGTCCTTTCCAGCTTTCATTTTAAAAAATGAACTAGTAAACAGATTATGTGACCTAGTCCAGAGAAATTAATTGCATATAAACATTAGATATTTCATTTTTCATGGAAATTTTTACATTGTAAAGGTTAGATTGTCGTACATCACGAAGTTCACTCTTCACTTGACCTAAGAGAATTGAAGAATTTTAATTGAATAATTTCTGAACCGAATATATGAATTGTTGGTTCCACTGAACTGTTCAAACAATTTGGTAAAATTGTTACATTTTTTGAGAGAAAAAGTAGAGGAAAGTCAGTGAACTAACACCAAAATAGTGTTATGTTATTAACTACAAATATTGTTTGTATAGGTACCATCCGACCGGCGATTTCTATCACATATAGCATATTATGATGGTAGTAAACAATGTTTTACTCTTACTGGGGTGGTACAGGTTATAAATTCCAGCAAATGGACTTACCTATTCCTATTATTATTATTCAGTCACCAAAAAGTTCTCTTGAGAATGTAAACATAGTAAAATATGATTCAGAAAGAGAGTCAGTATTTAGGACAGTTACTCCTAGAATCAAGAAATCAACTCAAACTCAGGATAGAATCATTTTTATTACTCCAAAAATCTTAATTAAAGCTAAAAATTCCTCATCTTAGAATTGAAACATCCAGCTCAATCTAGAAAACATACATCAATGCAATAAAAAAGTGTTTCATTTTACCATTTCAAAATCCAGGATCCCACTGGACAATGTGGGGCTCCATTTTATACTCGTAACATTTGATCACATCCCCAACTTCGAAGATAATCGATTTATCAATGAATTGCAATCCGCATTCCGTGCCTGCTTTGATAACGTCAACTTCGTTCTTTAAATGACGCATTGACGATAGGGTGCCTGTATACAAACCGTAAATTACCCAATGATGACACGTTAAATGTCTTACTTAACTTCATGTATTACCAGATCGTTGCGGATTATACGATACTGCATACTCTTTTTCAAAATCCCTTTCTCACAACGGCAACCGGCAATAGGTACACTTTTGCGACCTTCATTAATGAAAAATTGTTGCAGAACTTTGGCTTCTCCTAGTAAGCTTTCTACTTGTTTAGGTGGTAATGTGCTATTCATGTCTTCCTTGATGGTATCGACTAATTTGTAGATAACGTTAAGATGTTTAATTTGGACGGATTCCGCCTCGGCTTTTTGTTGTAGTGTGGGTGGACACGTTACGTTAAAGGTGTATATTATTGCTGAAATATTGTCTTTATAGACAGGCAGAAAAAGACACTATTTTAAAAACAGACGGCACATTTTTGCCCTTCAAGTATGAAGCATGTAAAATAAGACTGAACTCACAACTCAAGACTATACTTAACCCCTTGTTTTGGTACTCACTCAATTAAAATTTTAAACAATTTCTACCATGTACAGGAGTGTCCCACTACAAATGCCATGAATGCTAATGTCGATAAGTAGAATTCATGTAAAATATTTTCAAATTGGTGGCATTTGTGGTTATGCCAAACATGGTTGCCAACTTGCTTATTTCAATTGGAACACCCCATATATTATTTTTTTAATGGAGATCCTCTATGCTTATAACTGTGATTTAAATGGTAAAAAACATATTATTTCTTTAGTGCTTGATAGTTGATTGTTTTTTTTTGGTTGCCATTATGTGACCAAGTAAAAAAATTCTTAAAACCGTACTTAATAGCACTTTTACAATCGAAAAAATATTAAACAATATTTCGAAAACTGGAAATCTATGGAATAGCCTACTTTATACAGAGACCAGCAACAGCGCGTCGGTCTTTCCTAGCATCATACCTCGTAAAAAATATTTAAAAACCGTGTTATATGGTTGTGGATCTACAGAAATTATTTTTGAATGTACAAGGTGTCCCATTTTTACGGTGTAAATAAATGATTTTTTTAAATAGAACACCCTGTATATTTTTGCATGTTTCAATGTCATTTGTTAACTGAACACTATTCCCTTTTTGATTTTGTGTTAATGTTGCGAATCGAACTGCGTTTCACGATAGTCCCAATTTCAACGCCGAAGTAATAAATAGTTCACGCTGTTATAAATTGTGCATGATGAGTGACACAAACATGTTAATCAATTACCATAAAGGTAGCTAAATAATTCAAAAATAATGAAAATCGCTTGTAAGTGCATGTTACCATATAGAAACACTGCGTTTTCAACCTTAAAAGGGAGAAATATGTCTGTTTTTGGTATACACTCACTACCTGCCAGTCAATTTACCTTTAAATGTTGCAGCTAACTCAATATCATTTTCTGTGACAGCTCCAACACCATAACTTACAATATCCATTTGGCATTCCGGATAATTATAAGTGCTCAAAGTTTCCAAGATAGCCTCCAACGTTCCATCTACATCAGACTTTATTAGCAAATGTAATGTTGGAGTATCGTCCTGTGGCGTGCTCTCAGGTTTACGTGGCCCTTGATTACGCAACCTAAATCGTCCCGATCGCCGTCTCAATTCTAATCTTTCCTTGTACAGCAATTGATGTTGTTCCGCTTTCGCAAGAATGGCAACCTTATCCACTTCTTGCTTCTCCATCTCTTTCTGGTCCTCTCTAAATTTGATAACGGCTTTTGCTCGCTTCTCCGATTCAACTTGAAGCACCAGCTCTCCAGCCGAAGGTAATTCTCTCCAACCTTCTACTTCAGCGGGATATCCGGGTTTGACCTCGCTTAAAAGGTGACCTTGAGCGTCCCTCATTAGTCTAACTTTAGCCATTACGGTATCCGCCACTAGGACGATTCCCTTTTTCAGAGTTCCTCTCTGCACAACCATCGTACACAGGCGCCCTCTGTGTGGATCGATCCGACTATCAACAACAACAGCTTCGACAGGTCCCGTCGGGTCACTGCCCACCTCTAGAAGTTCGGCTTGCAACGCCAAAGCTTCTGTAAGCTGGTCCAAATTGATTTTTTTAAGCGCGGATATGTGGATCGCTTGAATATCTCCGCCTAACCTCTCCACTTGAATGCCGTGTTGCAACAACATCTGTTCCGCATTCTCAGTGTCTGCTTTAGGCGAATCAATTTTATTAATTGCCACTAAGATAGGAACTGAAATATGAAAAATTAATAAGTTAAAATCTAGTCAATGTTTATAATAATCGGTTAAAAACAAAGGTATATTCCGAGGTATATTCAAAGCCATTTGGAGCCCTTGAGAGCTTAAAACCAACTAAAACTTAAAACTATGCGACCGTACCTATGTCTTTTAATTACTAAAGAGAGAATTAAACAAGGTACCACATCACACGACCTCCATTTTTAATTAAAAATTTTCGAGGGGATGCTTATATAATTCAGTGGGGTTCAGAAAAGATTAACTCGAGGATTAACCTATTTCAGGTGTTACCCAAAAGTCGATACTAAGGCTAAAAATTAATTTATTCCATATGGGACTGCTTAGCACGTACCATGTGCATTCTTCGCCATCTTTATACATTCCACAGTTTGCTCCATCACTCCATCATCGGCAGCAACAACCAACACAATGATGTCAGTCAAATTAGCACCACGTGCACGCATTGCGCTAAAAGCTGCATGCCCTGGAGTGTCAAGAAACGTTACTTCCGCCCCTGATTCCAATTTCACAGAAAAAGCTCCCACATGCTGCGTGATACCGCCAAATTCTTGATCGACAACACGCGAATTTCGTAGTGAATCTAATAAGGTGGTTTTTCCATGATCCACGTGACCCATGACCGTAATTATAGGAGGCCTTGGCTTTAATTCGGATTTCTGAGCAGGTGGTCTGGGTAATGCATCTTTCTCTTCAGTTTTCTCCTTTGTTTCAACAACTTTACCAATTATTCGCATGCGTCGACCACTTCTTCTTATTGCATTATGTAATTCCTTAATGTCGGTAATGGGTGTATGTTTTCCTTGAACTTTTCCCAAAAATAAGTCATTAACGTAATCCAAGTCCTTTTGCAAGACATTGGCAAGCTCGGCCATCGTTATATTTCTCCATATGTCCACTATTTCACCCTTAGATTTCTGATTGACTTCATATGCTTTTGGCAATTTCTGAAACATAAGGTGATTTTGAGAATGAGACATTAGGGTCCTTACCCTTTCTTCCATGGTTTTTCTTCGTTTTAAAAGGATTGGACAAGAATGTAAGCCACATACTGAATTGTAAGAAGCACCTGCACTGGGTAGAATCCTTAAGACATGATTTTTACATAAGGCTCTAGAATGTAGGGGTAGTAATCAAAGTGGTTTGCCACTCAGAGCTATACGTACATATTTTTTGTATGAAAAACAAATTTTTTAATTATCCTTAATTGGGCTACAGAATTTATGCATATCATACTTAATTTATAGAAGAATGTACAAATTCATAACTTCAAAACTGTTTGAAAACAGTGAGGTTATGTTACACAAAAGCTGTGGTTATTATAACTGACAGATGCGGCAACTATTGTGGTTGGTGACACGCGAATCTGGCATCTGTTTATACTTTTGTCATTGATTATACACATACAGTGCCACCATGCTCAGAAAAGCCCCGGAAAATATGCGAACTAATTTTGAAATAATTCAGGCTGCCCAATAGAAAGTCTGCAAAACGACGCGATACATTCCGCGCCATAATTATTAATTATTCCGTTTTGACAGTTGACGCTTTATGTTATTTTAATTTACACTTTGCTTCTTGTATTTGCTTTCTTTTACGTTTTCCGTCTCCAGTTTTATACAAACTCGTCTTTTTCAAGACGCATATAGCTTGGGTCTACGATCTGATAAGGTATGTAATTCCGTTAAAGTGTTTTTAAATTTTGCATCAGAATGTACGGTCTAAATTTCTAGCGCCCTCGGACACGCCCTGTCAGGGACTTTCTGAGCGTGGTGCCACTGTACACAATCTATTAGCGTTTTCGATTGGCAACACTCGTGCTGCACGAGTGCAATTTTTACGTTCTATTGGTAAATTTAGGGCAATTTTCTGTGTTCCATTGGCAAATGTGATGCAACAATTACCTACGCACTCAGTGCAAATTTCGACGCACGAGGTCCGAGAGCTCGTGGAGCTGCTAGTTAACAAATTTTCAAAACAAACATGTGCGACAATTTGAATTTCTTTCTTGCGTTGGAGAGTTTTTTGTCGTCATCTAGCGATAGCGAAGATGATGAACTAGCCATAACTTCTACTTTACAAAAAGTTGCACTTAAGTCATTAAACTGAACGCCAAAAATTGGTCTTTTACAGGAATTTCAAATTTATACTCCTCATTGTCATTTTTTAGAATAGAGATTTGTCGATTATCTAAATCTATAATGAGATTATGGACAAATGACAACAAATATTTGCAAATATTTATGTTCCATTGAGAGCAATTTTCACAGGATTTCTTCAGTTTCGTGCAACACTCGTGCAGCACGAGTTTTACCAATCGAAAACGCTATATGCTTGTGTCTGAAACTACTTAGTCTCTAAAGGCTGAACTACATTATACTATTTTCATACTAATTCAGTCTTGCAAAGTTTTTATACTAGGATGTAAACTAGATTTGTCTACAACTGGCTAGATCACCTGATTCTGGGTCACTGCAAACAGTTTTTTGGTATAAGCCTAACCTCAACTTTTAGAAAACTTATGAAATCTAGCATGCCGTGTGCTGTCAGGATACGCGGCGTCTATGTTACACGTATCGCGCAAAAGTAAATCACCAAAACGAACCAATGAACATCCAAGTTCATTACAAGCTTTCTGAGAGGCATTCCAAGAATCGTCGAGACTATTTTGAAAAATTTTAACCATTTGTACAAATCGGATCAATGAATATATTTTTCCCAGAAAATGTGCATTACTTTCATAATACACCCTGTATGCGAAAAAACCTCGCATTAGTTTCGTGATATGAACACGAAGAAAAAATTCAACATTCATTTTGTGTCAAAATCTTACATTCTCCAGGACTTTCTAACAAATCGCTCAGCCGGCCTGCAGTAATTGCCTCTTACAACATGCAGTCCTCTATGCTGTAGGAGTATTCTTTGTCCCTACATGTGACAAAGGCTTGAATATTTAAACTAATACAAAAATTATGTTATATTAATAATAATCTGTTCAGAAACATACAAAGAACAATTTAAAGATGGCAGAAAAATGCCATATCTGTTGCCATATTTCATCCAAAATCAGCACTGATAGCCCAGTACCTTTACCATACAGGGATTATTTCATCTAAAACATATGCAAATTAAATTCGCAAAAAAGTTGTACTTATTTATTAAATTAATTAAATATCAACTTTTAAGTAACAATATTTGAACTAACTAACCAAATAAATATGAGCTTAACAATCAAAATAAACTGATTTGTTTGTTCCAATCATTTATTAGATTTACCTATTTAAGCTTCTGCATAATGGCAGCATTCAGAAGGCCAGCTTCGGCTATTGTTTCAGAATCGCCTAAATCTCTTGAAGGATATGATGAGAGAAGAGCGAATGGGTTTAAGCCATACTGCGGACGCGCGTTGATAATAAATGATCGGATGTGACCTACAGTATGCATGTGATTAAATTGCGCTACTAATCTCGTACCATCCGCCAAACGTATTTGAATACTGCAACAAAACTGCATTGGAAAAACGTTCAAGATTGTTGAAACCCATTACTTAGTTGTTGGTTGTGATGTGTCAACTGATAACTTTTCTTTAGCTTTAGTTTCATTGAGCGCACTATCTTTTTCTTGTAAGGGTGGCGCTCCAATGACTGCAGGTGTTGGACTTCCTAACGTGTGTCCCTGCCCTGAAAACACCTTGGTCCGTTTTTCGATTTCTTGCTTGAAAGTTTCAGTACGTCTATCTTCCATCGATAAATGCACCTTTAAAAGTACGAAATCATAAAGCACAATCCAATTGCTAAGTTTTTCTTCTTTTAACTGAGATTAGCCTTATTTGCCACTTGTAACTAGAACTTTGTCCTAATTGGCAAGTTGCAATTATGACAAACTTCTACTTAAAAGTAGGACTCACCTCACTATTTCCTTGCCTTAATTCAGGAGGAATTTCTCCTCGACGAATGCTATCTAAAAATTCAGTTTGTTGAGGATCAGTATATTGACGAAGATCGCCATCATTCAAACTAAATCCATCACGCCATAATTTTAAAGTTACTTCCTCTGGTCGTGACGATGAACGCGCACCGGGAATTGTTTCAGAATCGTTGCCTGTTTGACCTAACTTATATCCGGTTCCTGTAAAAGCGCTAGTGTGAGCACCAGTAGCTGCAGGTTCTAGTATTTCGACTCCATGCCTGAAACCTAGGTGTGCTAAAAAGTTAGATTGTTTGGAAACTTACTCTCGCACAGCCTTAAACATATCTGATACCATATCTCTATGTCTTGGTGGCCCCAACACTTGTTGACCGCTATGTTCTGAGCCACCAGCGTAGAACGCCTGACCTTCTTCCTCATCCTCACTGGAACTGTGAACGGTATGGATTGTAGCGAATCTCGAATTTGTTATTTTCGACCTGGGTTTCGGTTTCACCTGTTCCGGCGATGTTGGGGACTGTTCGCTAGGCGGACTGTCACCTACTTCTACAGGGTTTGGTGTTGGTGGTTGTTCAATCTCGCCATCATTTTCATAAAAGCTTGCCAATGCAACCTAATGAAAAATCCGGATAGGTTACAAACAGTGGTGTTTAATGTAAAGAAACTCGTCTCGACCTTTTACTGACTCACTAAGCCTTCCGTATTTCACCTTAGACAAAAAATTTTACTCGATTTGCCACACAATTTTGTTCAGCGGCATTTGATAAACTAACCTCCAATTGCCAAGCAGAAGATTCTAAGTAAAAACGAGCCCTCTCTTCATCGACACCAGTAACAGTTATAAATTGTTGCAATTTTTCATCATTATCTGCCATTTTTACTAATTGTCGTTTGCAATTTGTTTATTAACAACTACTAATTAATCACAGAACACACAACCCCAATGACGGATTGAAATTTTTGCTGTCCTTTTAAATTTTGACAGTCGTCAAATTTAAATTACAACAGTGTTGCCAGTAGCATTGTATGATATACCTTACAATATACATACACGGTGTTACATTAATCCATGGGCTAAAAAAATCACTTTGACCCGGCGGTTCGGACGGTGAACCTAATGCGTTCAAAACTGTTTACCGTCTCTCCTTCCATTCTGTACTTCGTCTTCTCGAAATTGCAATTTCCTATTTTTTCCTGCGGAACTCCGTGATTCGCCAAAATTCAATATCTTCTCCAGATCAGGAAATACACGTTTTTTATACCTCTAACGGCAGTCCCCCTCACGCTCCGTCATGCGGGACGATTTTTTCCCGGTTACATTGATGTATCACAACATATATTTTTTTTTATACAGGGTGTCCCTAAAAGGTCTGTACAACGCGCTACCAGGGGTTCTTGGTATCAAAATAGGACGATTTAACCAAACTTACCTCTATCCAAAAGTGCTTCGGTAAGGCGCTATCTACCGCCAAAGATTAAAAAAAAAATCGTTATTTTTATTTTATCGGAAAATGGTTTTGCCGATTAAAATGAAATTCGGGATCTGAATGTCTAATGTAAAAAAGGTCTTTGTGATATCATCGTTTTGATTGTAGTTGCTATGTAGGTGGTAAAATACTGACCATCCACATCTGAAGAGGTCTAAAACTTTTTAACTACAATTTTGACGGTTCTGAATTTTTAGACACTGATAGACAGTTTGCAAGCATTTTTTGTCTCTTGATGAATATCGCTATCTGTGATGGTTTACGAAAAAAAAAAAAATTTAGGCATGATGAATGGCATGCACCATACATGCGATTGTTCCTCAAAAAATCAGAAGATGGCTGTGAAACCTTAGAGTGGCGTAACGTTTGTTTGTTGTTTCTTAAACTTTAACAATTTACGTTTTTTTTGCGACCATTTCCACGACAGTATCCAAACACTAATAGCATATCAGTTAACTCTGCGTTACTGTATTGAAAGGCCATATTACAATTTTAACAATGAAATTTTAAGTCTTCAAGCAAAACGTAAATTGTTTAAGAAGTTTAAGAAACAACAAACAAACGTTACGCCACTCAAAGGCTTCACAGCCATCTTCTGATTTTTTGAGGAACAATCGCATGTATGATGCATGCCATTCATCATGCCTAAATTTTTTTTTTTTGTAAACCATCACAGATAGCGATATTCATCAAGAGACAAAAAATGCTTGCAAGTAAACTGTCTATCAGTGTCTAAAAATTCAGAACCGTCAAAATAGTAGTTAAAAAGTTTTAGACCTCTTCAGATGTGGATGGTCAGTATTTTACTACCTCCATAACAACTACAATCAAAACGATGATATCACAAAGACCCTTTTTACATTAGACATTCACATCCCGAATTTCATTTTAATCGGCAAAACCATTTTCCGATAAAATAAAAATAACGATTTTTTTTTAAATCTTTGGCGGTAGATAGCGCCTTACCGAAGCACTTTTGGATAGAGGTAAGTTTGGTTAAATCGTCCTATTTTGATACCAAGAACCCCTGGTAGCGCGTTGTACAGATCTTTTAGGGACACCCTGTATATGTATTATATTTTTCAAAACTTTAAATACTTCTATCGTCAGCGATTTTTATTGGTCTTAGTTACCATGGATACAATAAACAAAACTATTTAAAAACTGTAAAAAATAAAGTTTTTAGTTTTCATTTATACCTAGCTAAAATTTAAAAAAAAATGTAGGTTGTGATATATCAATATAATCAAGAAGAAGAATGAAAAAATTGACGTTAAGCTATACAGGAAGTTGCATTTAAAAAATACAACCTTTGGGTCAAATCTCGGAAACGATTTCCAAAATATTTTTTCTGATTAACCCACTGGATTCTACATTACAATATCTAAAATAAACAGTGTTTACCTTTTTTCTTCAAAAAATCTACGGCCTTTTGAGAAATCTCTTTAATTATTGATGGTCCATTTATAGCGAAGTGCATCAATCAAACTCTACAGAGCTGAAAAGGTCACATAACAGAACACCTAATATTCACCTACAAACGCTCTGGAAAGCGGTATTAAAGCGTGTTTAGAAGGTTTTCCAAAATGTTTTAGTGCTATCCAGCCACAAATCACTCAGGGGCGAATGAGGACAGAGCCTTCGCCCTACTGACAGGGTGATCAACTATCGTGCCAAAACTAACTCGTTGCTGTATTTATTAAAGCAATATACAAAAGTAAGAAAGGCTGTGGCCAAACATATAGAGTCGCATAAAGTTTGGAATATGGAGAAACGTGTATCAATGCGACCGTTTACACAAGGGAAATCACAATGATACTGATACCATCAGATTTTTTATGCCATCAAATAGAGAAAACCCTCTCCTACGACAAGGTACAAGGTCCTGAAAAAGGTTAAAGAAAATCTAAAAGCTTATTTCTTGATATTGAAAACAACTATCACCATCATGAAACCAGATGCATGTAGCAATTGTTTAAGAGATTGGCCCAGTTTGTAGGTATCTAGATTTATACCGTTGGGTCTGGTGGTGAAGTAGATAGTCGATCTTCCCGATGATGGATGTACCTACATTCACACAGTTAACATTTGACAGAAAAGCTACAAAAGATAATGTAGCAAATGTTAATCCCAATACTGTAACATATAAGCCACAAAAATAAGAATTGCTTAAAAAAGTATGAATTATGGGCGTATGCACAGAAAAAGTTTAAGCGCAGCTTAATATCCATGGTAACAATTATTGGGACAATGGTTGTCAATGATTTTAAGCTAGACCCAGCTTTAATTTTTTCGGTGCATATGGCCATAACAGTGTAATCTAAATCAGTGCAAACATAAAGTATATAAAAGTTTTTAAAATAAATACTCACACCAATATGTTAATTAAAATCCCAGTGCCCTAAGCATATTTCGACAAGAAGTGTAGTGGTGATTCCAGCCTTTCAAACAGGTGAGAACACCCAAATCTAAAGTATGTTAATTCTCTTTTATAATTTAATACAAAATTTGCTGCACACATAAAAAAGCTTATTCTATAAAGTAAGGTAACTATAAATGAAATACTTTATTAGAAAAATAATAATAAAGATAAAGAAATTTAAAGTAGCAATGAGAGCACTGTAAAACCTACGCGATAAATATTAAAATACAAATACTTTACATTTTTACATTGTATACCTATAATGTATAGGAGTATATTGCTCAAAATTTTGAGAGACGCATCCACGTTTTAAGATCATTCCAGGGAAAATTAGTCAGAATTCATTACGGTGCATTAATGGATCTTCTTTGTGAATTGGTGGTGGAGCACTAGTCATTTTAGATGAACCGCCCTGCGTAAGATATCCTGCTGTTTTTGGTGTGCCAGCTAGACAAAAGATAATTAACTTGAGACAATTACAACCCTAGACAAAAAAAATATATGTACGTCAAGTGTTATGATGATTTCTTCTAGCCGGTTAGGTAATAATTTAATGCATAAAAATGAGGTGTGGTAATTTTAAAATTATTACAGTACACAAAGTGGCTCTTTTGTTGCCCCATGTCTAATACACTGTGACAGACATATGTTCTTCTTTTGTCTAGGCTACAACGCAGTTATTTACCTGTCAGATAACCAGAAATGGGCGTGTTCGAAATGAAAAGGTCATGCTTTTGATCTCGGTAGTCAGCCCACACTGCACTTTTATTTAGAATTGCGTTCACTTGTTCTCCATATGTTAAACTTCGGCTCATACATTTCAGTGCTTTCACTATTTGCGCTTTGGTCATGGCGGGATTATCGAGTATCTCCAATCTTGCATCCAGTAAAGTCAACAGGTAAGTAACAAGGTCCGCGTCTAGAGCTTGTTTAACTAACTGTTCTTGACCAGTGGAAAATAACCGCCCCAGAGCTTCACAGGCAACTGCTATCATGTCTTGACGGACGTGCATGGCTTGTTTTAAAGGAAGCATGCAATCACTTTGTGCTACAGAGGTTATACAAACCTAGAAAACAATACATGAAAAATTAACTAAGCCACTACAAAAGTAAAAAAATTTAATATGTTAATAATATGATAATTTTTTAATAGTAAATTATACTTGTAAGGCTGATACCATGTTCTCGAAAAAGTTGTTGTACCAATACCGAAAGATGACAATAAATTGCTAAATCAATTTTAGATCAATTCAAGCTCTCTGTGTCAAACAGACAGAAAAATACTAACCTAATTAAAATACAGAATTGCAGAGTTCTAAGCTTGGCATTCCAAAATGAAAGGTATAGGTGTGTTAATGATAGTATGATAATAGAAATAATGATGAAAAAAAAGGTAAAATTAAATATGGTAATTTAAAGTATTTTTAGAATATCACTAAACCGGACCAGTGCGAATTTCACAGGCAAAAAACGGAATGTGCCAGGCGGCGCTAGCCGGGACCAGGCAGCATAAACTATAAAACAAGAGGTTCATCCATCCATCATTAAACTTTAATTTGCAATTTCCATCAAAGACAGTCGATCTACTGTTGTAATATGTGGTCGCTTAGCCGTTTTAAAAAAAAAAGTACTTTTTTGAATACATATTTTGGTAAGCATAATATAAAGATTTACACATGTACCACTTTATAGCGCACAGGAACAAAATTACGTCTGGAAATGAAAGGCGATAACAACGCGTGCATTTTCAATATAAGGTGTGCATTTTTGAGATAAGGGAGGAGAGAGACAGTTTAACAGCTGTTCTATCAAAATTGTGTAAAACATTTGTGCAGCGCTTTGTGCTATAGATATTTTGTACACAACGGCATTGGGCAGCTAACTATAAAAAACGATTAACTAGCACTCACACCATAAAGCTTAATTGGACAAACTTTAATATCAACACAGAGGACCCTTAACGTTTTATTGCAGTGCAAAATAACAATATCGCGAACTTGGAGCTGATTTGTTATAATTTGCAATACCTACGTACCTATGGACATTTTTGTTTGGCATTCAAGCTAAAGTTAATATTACCAGGGTGGTACCAAAAGTCCGCTGTATCTTTAAAGCGGTCTTATTTCTATATTTTTTAAAATGAGCGGCATTTTTCCGAAAGGAGAGGAAGATCAATTGTAACCTGAAAGGAATTTCATCCACGTCAATTACTGTAAGTTGTTCTGAATATTTTGCACTGTGTAACTTAGTGGTTGGTTATTTTAAGGAATTTGCATATTGATTTTTGCTTAAAGTAACTATGATATTCCTGAAAGAAAATGCAAAATTGTTGTATTGGGATTTTTGCCAGTGGTGGTTACCAATGAAAAAGTTATACAGTAAGTTCGAAAAAATACACAAAAAAAAACGAATTCAAAAACGAAAACAAAAGATTTATGTAGCATGGTATTTGGATATCATACTCTTTTTTTTCACTAATTAGTAGGTGTTAGCTGATAGAACCCTTCCCATTCGACCTTTTACACAAACAGCCATGCCTTTCCTGAGCCCACAGTCATTGTATCCATAGCGTCAACAGAGGTAACTAAATGAGCCACACAGGTTTAATATTATAAGATTATCATGAGTATGAATTAAAAAAAATAGACAGAAATAAATAGGGGATCAATATAAACCAAAACAAAGATAAGTCTACCGTCATAGCCTGGCTATCAACCATTTCACCTCAGGTGATGTCAAGTATGGGCATTCCTGTGTAACAAACAAGGAGATATTATCAGATAATGAAAATGAGTACAAACTCAAACAATAAAATAAAAAAAATAGAAACAAAAAAAACTTTTATTTTTATTTAAAAGTATATATTACTACTATTAATATGAAAGCCAGTCCTCCATCTCTGTACTTTTCATTCCCTCGATCGATATTCTTTTGACCTTATAACGCTCCCCACCTCCACAAACCTCGCAATAGACATAGCAAAAGGTATGTAGAGACAACAATAAACATAAATTAAAAAAATAAGAGCTGGCAAATCTTAATGTATTTTTACTGTCACCTGTGTTTGCAGAATTGCTGCAATTGACTTCATTCAAAACAAATATCCTAAACTCTAAAGGCGCGTTTAGACGTATCCAGTAGCTGGTGTCAGTCTTACTGTCCTGCCAGCACTGGCAGATTACTGGCATCGTGTTAGAACGAACAGAGAGCGCCGCTATTTTTCTTGCCAGTAGCTGTCAACCCCTTCCCCCATACACCCATGCCAGTGTTGCAGGTAACACGTTGGCGTCAGCCGCTGTCTCACTGTTATAACCTACGAATGCTGATGTAACCCTCCTGGGCCCTGCGCTTTGCCAACCAAGAATTGGCAGGCGGCAGCTACTGGAGACGTCTAAACGCGCCTTCAATGCAGCACAAAAAAAAGGATGTTATAACACCACCCACCCAACACCCCAGCAGAAATACCCGAACTTTGTTACACTTACAGCATTGGAAGATATGGCATGTAGAATGAGAATGCCACACTTCGGGACGATAGCCTGCTTCAAATTGGAGCCTAGTTGTCTACACAGGCGTGGTATATGACCCATGGATGGTATCAAATCAAGCAATGCAGGCTGAGCTTGCAATAAGGCACATAATGCGTTTGTTCCAATTTCTAATAATTCAGTCTGGAAAAAAAATAAATTAACACATGCGCACGCCACTGAAGCTAATTACTAACACTAGGTTTATCTTTGGCCATTTGGGATAGACATGTTTCGAATAATTCAGACAAAAATTCCTTTGGTCTTCTAAGGGTCCATGCAGGATTCGCTATAAATATTCTCAAATAAACACCACCAATCATAATCTCGTTAGGTGTAACACTGTTGGTTAAACCATTGTTGTCCGGTAGTCGCCAGAGGGCGGAAGGATTTTGTGCTTGCGCCATTTCATGCCTGCAATTTATGTTTACAATTCGCAAGACAGTGCAGCTACTTACTCTCTCCGCAATTTCGCAACACATGTGCATACGCGATCTTTGGCATCTTGATCCCAAATCAACTCGGGATGCTCATGCGCAGATTCGAACATATGAACACAAGCCTGTGGATTATCACGCATGGCGTCGGCGAAAATTGGAGGCAAAAATGACCCCAACGCAAGCCGCACCTTTGGACCGACTAATTTGTCTGCGTTCATTCTCGCCAGTAATTCCGCGCACATTTCGCGTATTTGCTGATTGGCAGAGTTACAAAAGAGATCCATTAAATAAATCACAGCGCCTTTACTTAAACTTTCTTTGACAATTTTTGTGGTCGACATCAAAGCGTGCAAAGTGGCTAGGATTTGTTGTTGCGAGTCTTGTAGAATGTACAAACTAAGCAATAAATGTCCCAGGACTTCGCTCGCCGCTATGTCATTTACACATTCGTTGTTCCTTGTCACTAGGGAAATTACGTTCAAAGCTCGCTTTTGGATGGGTATATGAGAAACTCTCAGAAAATTAAAGAGCAGTTGAAAGTGTCCAATGCACTGGAGCTCAACTCCAGTATTATTCTTGATCAAATTCGTTAATGCTTCAAGCGTTATCACAGTGTGCTGCAGTCGAGTTTCTATTGTAACCGAAAATGCTATGTCAGCAAGTGAGTGTAAATATTGATACTGCTCCGACAGAAACTTAAAGAGGTCCAATGCGAAAGTTTTAGGGTTCTACAACAAAGTTCAACAACAAGACACAAAGTATCAAAATGTCTTACGTTAATAGTATAAGTCGGTTGTTGATTGTAAATTGGAATGAACACACCTCCAACTTGTAATACATCGGAGTGAGCTGAATATTTAAAATCATTTCCTACCGTTACATCAGTCTCTCTACATTGCCTTTGGGTTTCTAAAAAGTCGACCAATTCAGCTCGCGTTCCGTTGTTCCAAATTAAATAAGGCGTTTCGCAATTGCTATTCAACATTTTTAGTATCTAAAAAATAACAAAATAAAAAAAAACCAGGAGAATCTGATTGTATTTGTTCAAGAGTTTCTGTTTTACGTGATCATCAGAAATTAAATTAATACCAACTGACAAGCCGATCCCAAACATTGCTCTTACCACTTCAGGTTGTTCCGTAGCCAGTTGATTTGCAACGTAACCAGTTAACAAAGTATCTAAAATTCCCCTTGTCACAGGATTGTGAGGTGTTACATTGTCATTAGAACCGTAACCGCCCAAACGGCCACACGCCACAACTGCCTCCTTGGCAAGGCGATTAGCAACCTCTTGTTGATTGGCGTCTTCCGTACGTTCTACTCCACCTTCATCCAAAGTGAAATCATAAGTAAACATGAACAGTAGCAAGTGCCACAAAGCTCCCGCTTTCAACAGTTGCATCTGGAGTATGGAATCAATTGCAATCGCACTGACACATTCTGTGGATATATAGCACAGTTTTGTCAAGTGCTAAAATTAGATTTTCAACTTTGATTAGATAAAAGCAGTTGACTTACTTTAAAGTACAGAATTCTACATAGGTCTTTGACAAACTGTGGCAACTCAATCATGCGCTCTCGACAAGCAGGAAATTGGGCTGCTACCGAATAACACCTAGTGATATGCTGACACACTTGAACACCCGTTTCATTAGGTTTTGCTGAATTGTTCAAAACACCCACACAACGACTGTAGGCTTCTAAGAGCACCTACAAGCGCAATTCAAACAACCCACCCAATCAAGTGGAACAATTACCTCCAATCCATTTTCTCGGCGCAACTCCTCCGCGTTTAGCGCAGAACAATGCACCGTGTGGTACGCCAACTCGCTTGCAGCTGCCAGCAGCGGATCACTTTTCGAAAACAACTGCTCATCAGCGGTTTCCATCTGAATGGTTTTAATCAACTGAGGATATCCCGCGTATTTATATGGTTGCAGTTCTAAAAAATACCATCATCATTCAACGATTGTTAATCGACACTTACGGTCAGAATGTCTATGAAATAGAATACTCTGCGTGCGAAGAACCAGCACTATATTATTCGGGTTAGGTCCCGAGGTCCATGAAACACGACTGCACAGAAACTCGTACGCTTGGTTAACTTTCTCGAAGCGATCCTAAAACGGACCTCGTCAATATATAAAAGTATTTAGCATAATCTTACTCTTCCTTCAGGATTCTTGTCTGGATGAAATTGCTGGGCCAATTTATAATACGCTTTTCTTACAATCGCCTCGTCGTGTGGTTCACTATTCAAGCCTAAATTCCTGTAAGCGTCCTCTATCGTCATAGTGGGCGGTTTCTTTTCCACTTCGGCCTTCCACGCCTCCAAAACGTCTTTTAAAAGTTTTATCTACAAAATAGATCAATTAAACGCGGAAATTACATTGGAAGACCTACCGGATCTGGTATGGGCCAATTAGGAAATTTGTCCGTATCACAGAGATGTCGTAAGTAAAATATGTTACAAAACAGTTCGTGTTCCAACTCTGGATACCGTATCGCAGGTATCGCGATGTACTGGTATCTTGCCATCGTGTGACTTCGTAGTCGAGGGGTAAAGTCGGCTATGTGAGTTGAAATTTTTTCTATTAGTTTGCGACTGAAAATCACTATTTAAACCACAAACTTAAATTAAAATTGTTTATACCGCATTTCGGAATTCCATATTGCTTCAGGCGTGTCAAATTCACCGAGAAATATTTGTGCAAACTTTTCTGCACCGTGGTTTTCCAAGTAATTGACCATTGCTTCGGGAAGTAATTGTCCTAATATGCTTCGGGTCATAATGTCTGATGTTGCAGTCTACAAAATTTTGCATTTCATGAACATGGAACAATCCTTATTCAATCATTATTCAAACAAATTAATTGTCAACATTGCATTTTATACATTGAAATTCAGCCGTTCATTTACTTTCATTACGATGGGGGAAACAAGTCACTTAATGAATACTTTCAATACAACAGTGCATAGAAAATGCATTTACATATGAAGTTATCTGCCAGGAAAGATTGATCCCGTGTAAACTACGCCACATAGACGTTATTTTGGTTTTGGGCACCTTCAATAAGGAAGTCCCACCCTGTATATTTCACTTTATTAAGTAAATCTGATTAGTTATGAACGGGATTGGTTCATTTTACTTGAATTTATATTTCATTACTCGTTTTCCATGAGGAAAAGTGCAGATGTTTGGCGCGTTCAGTCGTGGCTGGCGTTTATTGAATCTAAATTGTGATTGGCGACTTATTTAAAAATTCATGAGGAAGGAGATACTGAAGACAACAAGAAGACGAGGCTTTTTCTTTCGTGATGGTTTGAGAGCGTGCACATTTCTTTATGCAAAATGTTTTGGGCAGTAAGTCCGTTATCTGATAACGTAATTCGTCGGTATCGAAATAAAGGGTGCAGAAGAAGTTAAGTAATCTCGTCACGTGAAGTAATAAATGTTAGTAGAAAGTTTTTAAAAACGATTTGTGCGTATTCAGAAAAAGTACAAGTGTTGAGTCAGTCAAGCAGTTGTTGTTAGAGAGTAGTGCGCGGATGTACCATCCCGTTGATGCAGTTTCCCACTTTTGTTTTTTTTTGTGTGTGCGACGTATATCTTAATAATAATAATAATAATAATGTTTATTGCTGTTAACATGCTTAGAATTGTGCATTTACAGAAGTCAAATAAGGAAAATATATTATTTAAATAGCACTTAAATCAGAAATTTCGAATTCATAGACACTATAAAAGGCTTTCTGTAAAAGGAAAGTCTTTAATTTATATTTCAATGTAACTATGTCTAAGTTTCTTACTCTCAATGGTAATAGATTGAAGATCTTATAAGACATATATAGAAAGCTTTTGTGAGTTTTCTCCAGACGATAAAATACTAAGTTCAGTTGCTCTCTATTACGCGTACCATAATTATGAACATCAGATCGTACAATTTGGTTGCTTGAGTTTGTTTTAGCATACAAAACACAGTTCAGTAAAAATATACATGGCAAAGTTAACAACTTAAAGTCTATAAATAGCTTCCTACAGTTTTCTCTGTAACCGATATTACCTAAAACTCTAATCGCTCGTCGTTGTAAGGCAAACACCCTTTAAACATGAGAACAATTGCCCCATATAATATTGCAATAATTTATGTGCGATTGAATTAAAGATGTATATACTTGCTTTAAAAGCTCCCTAGACACGCATTCTGAAAGGCGTTGCATAACATAAATATTTTTGCTTATTTTTTTAGAAATATACTCGATATGCGACTGAAAAGATAGTTTCGGGTCCACAAAGACACCTAAAAATTTAACATAAGGTGGATTCTCGTACTCATGATTTCTTAGTGACATTAACATTCGTACAGTTTTATTGTTATTTAAATAAATTTGATTTGCTAGACACCATTTTTCCGCAAGATGTAGTACGCGGTGGGTTGTTTCCGTTGTGGTTCTAGGATCTTTACCCCTAATGCAGAATGTTGTATCATCGGCGTACTGGATACATTCCGCTGACTGTTGTAGATATGCTGCGAAGTCATTGATGAATATAAGAAAGAGAAGCGGCCCTAGTATCGAGCCCTGAGGAACTCCTCTCTGAAGCGTAAGGAAGCCCGATGTAACACTATTCACCTTGACAGCCTGCTTTCTGTTTTTTAGGTAGGACTGAACTAGAGATACACTGCTCGGATTAAATTTATAAATTAAATCAAGTTTCTTTATCAGAATTTTATGTGGAACGCTATCGAATGCTCGAGTGAGATCAATAAATACAGACATCGAATGAAGACCACTTTCAAAACACTCCAAAGAGTATTTTACAAGGTGACTAACAGCGTCTGACGTACTTTTGTTCGATCTAAAACCAAACTGCTTAGAATGGAAGATACAATTCCCTTCAAAATATCTCATAATTTGTTTAAAGATCACTAGTTCAAATATTTTCGATATTATCGGTAGCACTGAAATAGCGTTGGATTCGTAATAAAAAATGTTACTCAATATTTTTTTTACGGGTGATATAAAAAAAAGTTCTCCAAAACGATATGTTGTATTGAAAATCTCTCAACAGTGTCTTGTAGAGCTCAAAAAGTGCCAATGCGAATGTGTTTTCTATTATTTTATACCTGTTCAAATAACAGCAGAAAAAAACAAAAACCAAATTGACAATGTCTGAGTTTCTGGTATATCTTCGGAAGTAATCAGAATTTTTTGGTTTTCTTTAAAACATGATAATAACTGATTAATTGTGCAACTTTTTCCTAATTTGACCATCGTCGTATCTTCTATGGTTTCGGAGATCACCATGATAGACCTCTAGAACGTCATTACCAACTGTCAAATGTTAAACAACTGGTACAAAAAGCAATAAAAATCAGACTGGTTTCAAAACAAAAGTTTTTTGTCCACAGGACGTTAAGTTTGACATTTCTGATACTTCACAGGGCTGTTTGTTCTGGAAACAACGACATGGAGAAGTTATTTTGGTCTACATACCAAAAATAATGAGGGGACACCCTATATGAGATTATTTCAATTTATTACGTGTAAATCTGGGGAATTATCTACGAATAAGCACAAGGTTGATTTAATTTACTTGAATTTGTCATCTCAGTGTCTATTTTTCCTTTTAGAATTGTTTGTAATTGCGTAATATTTTTGTTTAAATTTTATCGCTTTTGTAAATTAAAATGGAGGGACATCGGGTCATTTGCGATAAGAAGTTTTATTTTGAACGAAATTTGTCGATAAATTATTTCAATTTTAATTATAATATCTATTGACGTGTGGAGGCGGCTTTAGTTCAGTTTGTAGTTTCAATACCAGGCGACGGGGGCAGAAATAATGTAATTGGATTGTGCGTACACATTTCCAACTATGAACCTGTAGGTTACAGTGAGAAACAATTTTGAATTGTTGTGGCACGACGCCTGGTTTCAGTGAGATTTATTTAATAAACGATTTCTAAATTCGTATGTTTGCACCATCACCTACCCTCAATATTACCTCTGCAAATTTAATTGACGCACGTGTTTTATGACTGTTAAGAGATAATAGAGATGCAGATGTTAAGATGTGTGCGGTAGTTCGGCGTAAGTGGCGTTAGTTCCTTCGAAGCTGACGTTATCACGTTGATTGTGATTGGTGGTTGATTTGAAAAATCTTAAGGAAGGAGATTATCTGATGGTGGAAGTGGTGTTTTTTTAAATACTGGAATCAACATAAAAACTAGGCTGCTGCTAGCTGTCAGTTTTCATGACGGTTAAAGGCCATGTCAATTTGTTTACGCTAAATCTGGGGCAGTGGTCCTATTTGTTTTGTTGAAGACGCAGGTTGTCGGTTTCGGAATAATGTGTACAAAAAGTGAATAAAAGATTTAAGTGTTTTTGTGTCTTTGATAAGAGCGCCCGAATATCGTAAAATCGAAAGATTTGGATTATTTAAAAAAAACTGTTTGCGGTATTAACGTACAAACATTTTGTTTTCTGTTTCATGTGTTTGGGAATAAAATGTTTGTCATTGTCAATCAATTATTTGTGTATTTGTCTTCATGTCAGGTTTTCTATTCGTGACTAGGATTCATTTTTGGTGTGAATCAAAAGTTGTGTAATAATTTCTTTGGAATTTTTGGAAGTGGATTGAACTCACATTTTGATTCGTTTTGAGCTAGTTGGACAGGTGTTTTGAGGGTTGTGTAGTGACCGCCTACCATTGCACACAGCAATATATGAAAAAATAAAAATGACATTAGTGCTACTTGGTGTAGGTATTTTTATTAACTAATTTAAACAGTAATAAAATTTCAATCACACCAAGATGACTGAACTGGGTTGATCCCGAGAAGCTGGCATCCGAAATCCTCCAAACTGCCACTGGAATCATGTTCCTGTGTGGATACATACTCACTGAGCCACGCTCAGAGGTAGGAGGGTGAAATGCTCAATACGCTCCCAAACAAAGAAGGTCTCTTTAAAATCAATGCAGAGTAAGTAGACGTAGAGTCTATTTGCTGTACATATCTACACATCTCTACAGTGTTCCAGTTATTGAAGGTAAAATCTGGCGCTACGTATAATTTTGCTAGGCAGTGCATTTGCACAAAAATTAGGATTTACTTTCTATTTACCCTCTACTTCGAAGTAGACCCTTTGACGGAGAGGACTTTTACCCTGAGGATGGAAATGTAGCAAATTCAAAAAAGTGCCCATAGAAGGTGTTAACTGGAGCAGTCTATTTCGACCACTTAAGTTAGGGAAGGTGAAAAGAAATTTGACATTTTCAGTTTTTCTGTGATATCTGTTTCTTTCAGATTTTTCAAAAATTTCAAGTGCGTTTTTTAGTCTCAAAAAGAAACAACTTTGCCCTCCATTTAGCCTACACGAATTTGATCCACCTTGTACGTACATAGGAATCAGTGGTGGAGCGGTAATTTTTACATGCTTTAATTTCTTTTATGATTTACCATTATTATTAAGAGCAAATATACATTATTTAATATAACGACGAAAAATTTGATAGTAAAAATTAAATTAAATAGATCATCAACATCTGTTATGGAGATGAATGATCATTGTTACAATTGTATCCATACCAATTTTTACCAATCAGACGTGCATTATGAATTTGTCTTGAGGATGTGGCTACATTTGTCCTAGTTGAGTCTAGTTCGTGCAGTAATACAGTCACGTGTTTTAACCGCTAACTAAATACAATAGATAACACACATGTGCTATTTGTATTTCTATGAGAGTTGGACTTCATTAATTTAAAAGTGCGCAATTCCTCTATATCAAAGATTAAATTTACATACAAGCAATAGGTTTTCTTTAACAGACTGCACAATCTTACCTTCTAAAAACAAAAAATAACCCAATTGTCAATAAACGCAAAAATGTAAACAAGTCAACTGTAATGTACTTGAGGAAGGAAGATCATTTTATCCTGTACTTACATCATCAGCTTTAAATGCTTGTTTCATGTGCGTTAACTGCAAAAATTTTGCAATCGGCAACACATTGCTTCCTGTATACATCAATATAAAGAAAAATACTCCAGTGAGGTAAACTTTCGACATTTCCGGATTGTCTTGCATAATTTCGCAGAGAAGCGTAGCAACTTTTTCGACGATAATTGGATCGAAAGTTAAAAGCAGTTGAACAATATGTCCAAGACATAACGAATCTGTAATCAACCGCTTCACTCTTGGCAAAGGACGAATAATTGCATTGTCTTCATCTCTAAATAAAAGAAGGTTATACAAATTACACAACAAAGACAAAGAATTTGAAGTCATACCTGCTAGGAAAATATTGGCACATCTTAATAAAAATATTAAGAATGAGAGTGGCCATGTCACTTTCGTTAAGTACAGGTGTGCCTTTTGCAATAATATACCATTTTAATTGAGGTAGCAGAACCATCGCGCGCCAGACATCTAAACCACTTGCCCAAAACAAGGTGGCGCTCTTAATCACCTTTTTTTCATACAAATCCTTAACCTACACATTCACGGATTACATTACGTATTTATCGAGAAATACCAACCTCTTGGAAACTCACAGGTCCTTGCCTCACACTATCTTTATTAAAATACCATTCCTTTTCCTGGACAATTTGCATGCCCGGTCCGGCTTCAATCACGTTTGTTTGCGTAGGTATCACAGCACGAGAAGTATGTAAATGAGCTAAAGTAAGTAGATCAACTAAAATACGGATTCCACCCGCTTCAAGAAAATCACAAACATTGCGATGATGCAATATTAATTTATTTATAAACATTAATAAACGATCACGCTCCATTTTATCTACACACTAGCAAGAACGTTTAATATATGCACCTGTTATACAATTACCAAATATACTTACGCGATCTAGCATTCCTACAATATATTTAGTATCACTGAATGGACCTATATCTTCAAAGTATCTCCCATAAACTATCGACATAGCTTGCAAGCACATACATTTCATTTCCACCTTAGTGGTAAGTAAAAATCTATGATACAAATCATTAAAAAATTCATACCTACAAAACCATTATATTAACGTAGGACCCGCTTACTCGGTTCACTTACGATCTACGAATAGGAGAATTGTCGTTATCGTCCAATTCCAAAAGCAGTCTTAAATAGTAGTCGCCAATCTTTACTTCGTCGGCTAAACATTGATAATGTAGTTCGAATTCTTGGTGATTCCAGGCAATAAGTGCGGACCCTGATAATTCCCTGTCGGATTGAAACGATCGCACTTCATTTTCTAAGGCACATCGCAACTCCTCTCTAGTCTGAGAAAATTTAATCACCATAACTCAACAATTACTTAAGATTCAAATTTTTACTGAATTTGTTTACTTTTAATTGTAAATGAAATAGCTGGTTGCAAAATTAACAACCAAAAATCCTCACTAATTTTAGCCTGAATCTCTTTGGTGAACCCAAGATATATTATCATTTTTAATCTGTTAATTATTTGCAGACATTTCATTAGGTTTTAAACTATAAAGATGGATCAGATATTAACAATTATTAATCGAAATTCAGCAATTAATCAACACAGTGAATTTCATTAATAGTCAATATTTTAAATTAAATAATTTCGTAAATAATTAAGTTTACTTTATTGCAGATGTTAAACTGGCATTTTAATAGGTTTGAATGTGTAGGCTCTCTTTAACAGTAATAGTGGTTAGTGACCTCTATAACCGCAAGGGTAGATAAAGTGAAACAAATGAATGTGCATTCTAATCGCATCTGTCATTCTTACTAAATGGGACGCGGAGCATGTAATAGAATGAAGTTCAGAACAGATAACGATACTGGTTCCATGAAAACGACAGAAGACCCAAGCTAGCTATTTTTCACGTCTTAAATTCAGAATTTTTGAAGTTTTATGATTTATACGGTTTCTGCTAAAAAAGTTTTGTACTATACACGACGGGGGAAACTAACTATCATCTAATTCTTACCAAAAATGAAGACTAACAACAAATAAAACTAGAAATGAGACCCAGATATTACAATTAAAAGTAAACTAAATTCATGATTCCTACCTGTAAAACTATTGGATACACACCTTATGATTCCAGATTAAATTAGGAAGTTCTTGGTCTTGATTAAATTTCCAATAAAAGTAAGTCCAGTTGGCCTCAGCTTTGATTCGCTCCCGTCTCCGTCGCAGTACAATAGGCCTCTCCTTGATCTTCTCCTTCCTTTCCAACGTAATACCCATACGCGCACCCCAATGTTGCATAGCAAGTGCAGTGTAGTGCTCCACCTGTTTCTCCACATACTTCAGTTGCTTCTCGACAGCTAGCCAATTCGGATTACGTTTGTTTTTATTGGCGTGATCGACGGCCATTTTCAGATTATCCCGATGATTTAGCATTTCCTGTTCTATAGCGGACTCCGGAACTTTTTCCTGAGAATCCAGGTAGGTGATTAGTCCGGTGGGCTACAAATTTGCGTTACAATGGTCCTTTATTACGAAATAACCGTACCATTATTCTTTTCAAAAGTCCCATAGCGATTGGGTTGCCTGTTATCCACAATCCTACAAGATGCCTGGAAAGTTGGCGGTGAGCAAGGAGACGACCATCAGAACCTTGAGTGAATAATGCCGCGAGCAGATGTTGTGGTAACGCCCCTTCGCCCAGAGCCAAAGATTGCATTCGCGCTGCCACTTCCGCATCTCCTTCTTCAATTAATGCTCTCATAACCAGACCCGCCCCCTTTACAATGGCCAGGGACGGATGCTAAAGCAGTAGTGTCAACGAGAAGACTAAGAGTAGGGAAAGTTACCTGGAATAATCGAAATAGTGACCGTCCTCGTTCTGCCACCATTTCTAATAACACATCAAACTGTTTGCCATCAGTAGTTTCACTGTACGGTACACAAAGAGCAAAAGTTAGAAAGTCTAACATAGCCGAAACAACTAAAGCTCCAGTCCCGAGTTCTATATGCGCCATCCACATGTTCAACAGACTTTCAAGGAATGTTTTAGTTTGAAGAAGAGATGATTTGTTGAGCTGCTCTTGTCGAAGATCATAGTCATCATGCATGGGATGCATGAGCGCACATACCATATCTATCGCTGCATGATTAACGCCATACTCGTTGCGTTTTAACGCATTTACAACTTTCATACCCACTGCCTCCCGAAACCTAAAATTAAAAAAAAATTACAAATGCCAATACTCTCAGATTGTGTGGTCTGTATAGCTAAGGATTGAGTATGGTGGTGACTGAGAATACAAAATTTTCAAAATGTACGCAGACGGACGGACTGCTTAATAAATAACCTACCCACAACAGCAAAACGTACATCTAGCTAGCACAGAAACCATCCTGCGCATGCGCGATTCTCCCCTTTTATGTCTAAAGAATATGTACCCAATTTGGTTTCAATCAGTTTAGTCGGAAATGAGAGTATGGACCAACAGACTGACATCATCGAGATATTGTCTGAATCAGATTCCTGGTACTTCAAAACGTTCATTTCCGTAAAAGTGGGGAGTTATTTTTTACCCCCAATGGAATACCTCCCTTAACAAAGTGCAGGTGGTAAAAATGGCATTTCGTCTGTCTATTGTGTGTACAATATACGTTATTTTATGAAGTAGCCTTCCTTTTAATTAACAATTACATACAAGTAAACAACTGTTATAACTTATTGTTAAATGCGTCAATTTAAATACTTACATAAATAGTACATTCGTTACATTCAATTAGTATTTTCACTAATGTTATGCGTTATTCGAATTAAAACCAATTAAACAAACGATCCTAATATGGGAATCCACATAATAATGGCCGAGATCATGAATTAATGAAAATTGGAAGACTAGGGGCTCCTAATAAACGCATGCACCAAATTATGATTGAACCAACACACCATACATTGTACCATGCCCCTGGCGATGAAGAGAATCTAACTGATTGGTAAGGGCACCAGAGGTTCTGCTGGTAAACTCGAGCCAAACTAAGCGAAAAACGCATTGGTAGCAAAATTACGAAATACAACGGTGGTGGCATATAAAAATCCTTAGGGGCAACAATGTAGAGAAACATGATCGGCGGAAGCGCTCAGAAAATCCTACAGTGGAATTTCCATTCAGATCTAGAGGCTGTTCCATTTAAAACAAGTTAAAAAGTAATCGTAAACGATTTACATAAAGCGCATTTCCCATTTGTAAGATGCAACTTCTGTTAAAATCGTAAAAATCCGCCCACAAATATGAAAGATAGCGTTGCACATGGGCAATCCATTTTTGACGTGCTACTTCAAGTTCAGTTTATGAGAAGAATTTCATTTCAATGCTTTTCTAAATAAGAAAGTTGGAACTGCGCATGCGCAAACCTAAATTTGGAAACTAATGTTAGATTTTCCTTTGTTCCAAGCGCCTAAATATCAAATTTCACTTAAATGCTTCCATAGATAAAAAGGTTGGCACTGCGCATGCGCAAAATAAAATTTTGAAACTGGCGCTAGATTTTCCTTTATTCCAAGCACCTATGTATCAAATTTCATTTAAATGCTTCCATAAATAAAAAAAATTGACACTGCGCATGCGCGAAACCAAATTTTGAAACTGGCGTTAGATTTTCCTTTTTTCCATGTGCGTATGTATCAAATTTCGCTTAAATTCTTCCATAAATAAAAAAGTTGGCACTGCGCATGCGCAATTTTGAAATTGGCGTTTGATTTTCCTTTATTCCATGTGCCTATGTATCAAATTTCGCTTAAATTCTTCCATAAATAAAAAAGTTGGCACTGCGCATGCGCAAAACCAAATTTTGAAACTGGCGTTTGATTTTCATTTATTCCAAATTTAATTTAAATACTTTTATAATTAAAAAAGTTTGCAATTCGGTTTATAAATGGTCGAGATGCGAAAAGGGCACTGTGAATTTTGAATCGATTCGACTCAACTTTTGGCATTGCGTATTATATGGCTAAAGCTATGCCCGTATTGAATTTCATGCAATTCAGTTCATAACTAACGGAGATGTAATAGCTATTTGTGTATTAAGAGCGCAAAATGATATATTGTCGATTGAAAGAGACAGTTGACGCGCGACGAAGGAGCGCGGCAATCTCTTGAAATCGACAATCAATTTGCGCTCGAATTACACACAAGATTTTTTCTACAATCGAGCAGTTCACATATTTCCAGAAATTTAAATTTTTCGCTCAAATCATATTAATCTTATGCCCAAATGAAAGATGTCATTCACAGAATAAGACCTTCACAGAACATAAACATAAATGGCGCTAAATTGTCACTGATTACAGCGTTTCCCGTGGTTGTACGGAGAACTATTTATCTCAGACTCAAATCTCGTTACAGGAAATATTTTTACCGTCGATTTTATACGTACACAGGTTTTCCACATGTCAATTTTGACTTTTGAAAGATTTAAAATATGAACAAGTTATGTGACCGTAAAAAGTGTTGTGTGTCGGATTGTAACAATAAAATATCAAAAAGGCATCGTTTCCCACATTTTGAAACAGGTTGTATTGTGCTTGAAACGCGAAGAGGGTTGAAATGTGCTGTTATTTCTTTCCTATTTATGCAAGGTAAGTAACAGGTACAAATTGACGCAGAATTATTACCAACTGTACCTATAGGCGCAAAAGGGTGTAGACTTGAGTTTTATATTCATATAGATGTAGATACTTATATTGTAATTCGTTTTAGATAATTCAACAACTTCCACTCTCGCTTCTCAAGTAACCAGTAAGCACCACGATCAAGTTAACATTTGTTGTCGAAAACTTGTGTGACAATTTGCTGAAACGGTTTTATCACCTCTTGGAACAAAAAATTTAGTTCTAAAGATATTTTTTAACAAACATATTTAGTCCAAACAGCAATTAAAACCAAATATTTCGTAGGACAACTCGTTACGTAAGGATCTTTTTGCAAAGTGTTAACTTCTACAAAGCGTAAGTTGCACTTACTTCTGAGTTTTATATGTAATTTGTAAACATGTAATTTAAGATGTCTGTGTTAAATAATGTAATGTGATTGTATCTAAATATACTTGCAATTTAACAACTGTGTATTCTTTATCTATATTTGTGATTTAGATCGAATTGGGGAAATTATGGATTTAGAAGCTGGTCACCAGATGGCGCTACTCTGATTTTGATGCTTTAGTTCACAGTACACCCACCAGGGTACGCCAAAATACCATACAAATTTGTAACATTGCTGTTTCTATTCTGAGAAGGCCCTATTCTGTGATGTCATTTACTCGTTGTCATTGGATACTCTGAGCAATGCATATTTGATTTATAGTTAATAATTGGGAGAACGAGCGTTTTTTCTATTTTGTCGCTTATAAGCGACAAAGTGACATTCCTCGAAAAAGATGACGTTTGCGTTGTCAAATACGAGCGCAAATGCCTACTTTGGATATCTATTGTAGAAAAAAAGCAATCGGACATTTCTAAACAAAGTTATCGTTCACACGGACAGATAGAGGGACAGGCAGACAAAGGAACAGACGGACAGACCAACAGGCAGACGACAGACAGCAATGCAAAATTATAAACGATCTCTAGGATCGTTAATAAACGGCAAAAGTGTAAAATTATGGAACATGTAAAAAACGGTTTTTTGTTTTTTTACAATAACTTTTTTTGTAAGCGGTACAGAAAAAAATTCCTTCCTTGGTGCAAGACTCGACACCATAACGAACCAAATAGCGAAAAAAGTAGAACAATAGCTCTTAAGATAAAGAACTAGTAGCGTCGCAAAACGAGAGGACGGACGGACAAAGTAAAGTGGCCACAATAGCGCATTTTTTTTTTTGTGGAAATGCGCTAAAAAGGAGATTAAGCCCATAACTTTTTTTTCCTGACCTCGTATACTTATTCTGAAAATGGTAGATTATTCAACAATCATCATAAAGACATTTAGTTAGTTAGAATGAAAGCAAATTGATACTTTCGTTAGAAACTCCTACAATCCTTCTAAAGCAATGTGGACAATTATAATTAATTCACAACGAAATATTATGTGTTGTTGTGTGCAATGGTACACAGTCAACTACACCACTCACAAAAGATCTCCTCGTACACTTCCGGCATCTGCTACAAAGAAAAATCCGAAAATTGATTTAACAAAAATTGGAAGACTTAGTGGTCACGATCAGCTTCCGAAAATTCCAAATAATTTATTACAAAAACATTTTATCAACACCTGAAATAAATCTTGGATATGAGGAGGTAAATATGACATAAAAATTCTATCGAGGTTGCACAATGGGTTCGAATAAACACACAATTGATTGACTGACAAAAACCAAAATTTTTTTCGAAACACATGAAATGAAAATTAAAACAAAATTCCTGGAGAAGCTTACAAAAGCTTGTACATAGTACCCTGTAAGAAAACAGTCGATAGTGAACCAAATAAAAAATCTTAATCGTTGCGTCGTTGCGACAGCGGCTAGCATCAGCCTCCTGCTTGCAGTATTTTAACGAAACTCGTCGTATAACAAAACCTCTTACCGCAAATGGCCAGACATGCGTACATTAAAGCATCTTAACTAATTGAATGAATTATAATATTACAATTCTAAAATGACAAAGAAAAAGAAGACTACGAAAATACAAATTCAAACGAAACAAACCAATTCTGTGCTCATTCGCAAACAACCCCCGGATATTTACTTTACTAAATTGAAATACTTCTCATATACAGGATGTCCCGTCATTGATGTTTGAACAGACGCTGTTTACACAACAGTACTGTACCTCGGTCCAATTTATCTTGCAATGAATTTATTATACATGGTGTTTGTAAAACATGCGGCAAAAACTAAAAAGATGATTGATTATTTTATGTTTTTTGTCAAGTCTGTTAAGATTTACTGAGATTGGGCTATTGACTCCTTACTTATGTCGCATCAAACACTTACCTTTCGAAAAACTGTGTCGTGCGGTATTTATTTATAGTTGGCAGTTGTTTTAAATTGGTATTCTAGTTATACCTCGAGTTATACAAATGCTGATATTTGGTCTGGATTGATCTTTGTATTGTGAATCCAGAGACACATAAGGAATAAAGGAACATGCCAATTGGATCTAAGGCCGCATTTTTCCTATGAAAGGAGAGTTTAGTGTACTTATGCTGCCGTTTCATGCATGCTACCATTTACTTAAATATTGGTTGAGGCCCTAATCATGTCCGTCCGTCTGTACGTTTTACACAGCTACTCCCAAGAAGTGAGAAAGTGAATGAATGATGAGAAAGAAAGAGGTAAAACGCCTCTTATGCTTACCCTAGCGACTATATTACTACACCAAGCTTAGAAGTTTATTTAGATGCAAAACTATGAGTAACAAAACCTTACCCTGGCAAAGTTGTAAAACACGAGTACCCAATTTTACTTGCTACCAATCGCCGCAACGCTTGAAACTGCGCTTCCAATTCGATACTGCTGATAGCTTTCTGATCCCCTTCTTTTTGAACTAAAGCTTGTAAAGCGCCGGTAATTAACTTATCCTTATTTTCAGAAAAAATACCCTAAAAGGTACATTGCAGTTACTAACAGAAACGCGGCTCGAAACTTACATCCTGAGTGACACTATACAATAAACCACTGTATGGTACATTTGCATTAAACCTATGGACGCATTCTGAAAATGAGTGTCTCGGGGGTGGATTTAATAGGAATTTTACGTGCGAACTTTCCACCTCTTCGTCCACTGGCAAGTGCAAGGGGCCTAGGCGGAAACCACGCATTGTTGGCACCATGACTACATGAACATCTCGATTGCCGGATGCACGCGCTCCGTCGTATAAAGAAGCAAGTAAGGCATCCCTGTAAAAATACAAAATAAAAATTGTACCCAATAAGCGGTTTCCCTATAAGTAATGATAAAGAGAAAATTTCTACTTTTGCGCCATTCCGTCATTTATGTGGTCACAGAACATGTATTTCTAAAATCTATTAACAACACTGTTAAAAAAACAAAAGCTAAGGTAGAACTTTTATCTTTATTCTTTCAAGTTCAAACTTATGCCAAAACCGTCTATTGGAAAGCTCACCTGTCAGTAGTTGTATAACTTCGAATATGCCCATTAAAATACTCGATCGTAAACAACTGCGGATTTTCATTGTTTCTCACCAACGCAAATATTTCCCCAAGCGGCCTTAATGTACACACACTATAGGTTTGGGGATCCCTCTCCAACAGACAAGTCTCCGAAAGACACAATATCCTACGCACCGGCTCTCGATGCCTAACCTTGTGAATTTTGTAAACATGAAATTCGGACACTGACGTTAAGTGCTCATCTTCACTATACTTCCCAAATCGTTGACTTTGAAAGTGCTCCAAAGCGATCGGTTTGGGTAATACCTTGATATTAATACCAAAATTAGCAGCCGCGTTATCCAAAATTTTCTGCCTAATATCTTCAAAATTTGAAGCTTGAAACAAGTGTAAACGGCCGAAGCCGCCACAAACCACCACGAATCCACCTAAAACAATTTGTATTTGCTAAAATCCCCTTGCGATTTAAGCAAGGGGTCAACCACACACAAACATTTTGTACATAAAAAAAAAAATTTACTACTATGTCCTAAATTTTGAGGTTGTACGTAACTTGGTACGCTGATAACTCATAAATATTGTGAATATTTGAATTATTATTCTACAATGTCTACTAGGCAGTAATAATTTTAATTATACAGAGTTGGTCATAACGGCGTAGCACTCCAAAATTGCATTTTTGAAATGGGACACCCTGTATATTATCGATACTTCAAATCTCTTAATTTTAAGGAAAATTTGTAAGAAGCATAATGTATCCAAATTCGATCGTTTTCGGGTTATAGTTTTGAAAATAAACGCTATTTAAAATTTATTGAATGATTGAATAAAGAACAATAATTATTAATGATTCCAAACAGCATAACAAACATTACAATCGATTCTTTTCAGAGCGACATAATGTTTTCAAAAGAAATTCGTGATGTCATTAATTATTGTTCTTCATTCAATAAATTTTAAAAATCCATTTATTTTCAAAACTTGATAATCTAGAAACGACTGAATTTGGGTACACTATGCTTCTTACAAATTTTGCTTAAAATTGAGAGAAGAAATGAAATATAAAAGTAGCAATGGCAGACTATTATAGCGGTTTCAAGGTCATGGCAGACATTTTTTCAGTTCTGACATCCCCACCTTATAGCATTTTAGCATACATTTAAAATAACATAAAGCATCTCATACCACATTTATGGAGCACCCTGTACATAAAAAATACTTTTGCATTATGCAAACAAGCAAAAAGCAAACAAGTTGGACTTATTTTAACTTTTTTTTGTAGCCTCACCCTGTAAATAGATGTACTTTGTTTCAGCAGATATTGCACTAATTGAACATCCTGTATAACAGGTATAGGTATACTATGTACATTAGTGCTCATTTGTTTCTTCACGTATTTTCTGATGTGCTTTGTTTCAGCATATAATGGAATACAGGGCGATCAAAAATGAGTTGCTGTCAAGTCGCCTTTGGAAGTTCAAGTCCAGTAGGATTTCCCATGTAAACAAAAATTCCAAAGGTGACTCGGGAGCAACTTATTTTAATCACATAGTACTATGTCTATAAAATGAACTCAATCGAGCAAGCGAGTACTTATCTTTCATATAGACATACTTAAGTACAATTGAAAATAACCCACAAACAACTGGCCTGGATTTACCCTCAGATTTACCCAATACAAACCACAGGTGTTTGTGTTTGTGCCAGGTCAACCTGAAACTTTCCCTATATTTACCAAATGTAGATAATGTACATGACATTTGCTACGTGCTTGACCCCTTGAATTATAGACGTTTACCTGTGCAATCCGCAATCTGACATATTCCCTCGAAATCTTTAAAACAGTAACTTGCCAATACGTGGTTCGTAGTTGGGTCCAGTTGATCAAGGGAGTAAGGGGTAATTTCCAGCATAACTGGAAGAGTTGTGTCTGACCAATGATGTTTGTAAGCGTGAAATCTCTGCAGATATTTACTAAGGGTTACGTTTTCCTCAGTCTTGTCTTACCGATATCTCCTTTGCTTTCTCACAGAAGTACGGTCGAAATCGCAAAGCCTGCGTTAACAAGTCGACGCGATGATCGGTCGAGAACTTCATATGTTCACACTTCCCCTTCTCATTTTTCATGGTAATTTGAAACTCATTGGTCGTCGCCTTCAGGGCAGTTATCGAGATAACGTCACTGTAAGCCCAACGGTTTGTAACCTCCAACGATGACGGATTATACGTGGTGATACCCAACGTCCCCACCGAGAAAATACGTTTGTATCTTGAAAGAAGAGGTTAGATTATAAACATATTACGAATAATAACTTACTTTCCTTTCCAGGAGTGCTTCGTAATAAAGAAACACGCCACATCATAATTGTCTTTGATTGGCATCATTCTGTCACCTTTACTTTGCTAAACAAATCGCCAAAAGTTAACTTTACATTGCGGTTATTCTGCTTTTGTAATTCATTAATTCAGCACTTCTTTATCTCTTGCTAAATAGTAGATATAACCTTCTGTGGCGAGATGTGACGAAACGTTTCGTTTATCATTAAGTAAATCTTCCATACAAAATAAAATATATTTCAAACTTCTAAAATTTTAAGTTTGAGGGGGTGTCAGCTGTCTATTTGTCAAATTTCCAAAAAAAAAAGGTCGGTAGAGAAGATTCTGTTGATAAATTATGGTAAAATAGGAAATTTTCGCACTTATAATAGTTAAGTAAAGATGTCAGCACTATCGTATGTTGAAAGTTTATGATGGATAGGCAACTATACTCTGTTTTTTAACTAGGAAGACGGATTTAAAAACCTGGTTTACACTGAAAATGTCACTAGAATCTAGTAACAAAAATAATACTAATTTTATACAGACATGTATTGTGGGTTGCGTGATGTGTTTTTCTTTCACATTTGGATAGATTTCATTATTTATGCTTTTGGGTTATTATTTGGTACGAACTTCTTTATATTATGCATACATCATACTTTTAAACGCAAATTATAAAAAATAGGTAATACATTGATAAGGTAATCATCCTGCATACATTTTTTGGCCTTTGAAACATTATTTTGAATTGTAGTTTTAAATGTTTTATCAGTTGTAATACTACACAATCCACATTACAATTTACAACAAATGTTGTTATTGAACAAATTCAGAACAATGGAATTATATACTCATATTATTAAACAGCATTATACATAAAGCAGTGAACTACTGCTTATGTATAAGCGATTTAGTCACTGTTTTCCGAAAGTTCACTAAAACTGTCGCACTGTCCTCCGATCCGAGTGAAATAATTAATGGTTCTATAAGTGTATCCATTAGGCCATCCAATCTACACATCTTATTTTCTTCCTTAATAATGTGTTGCACACAATTCCGCCAATCGTCAGAGCTCACATTTGCAACAGCCTTATGACCACCGGGACGTTTCGAAGGGGTAACAATGCCAGTACTTCGATATTCTTTAATTATCCAGGATACTGTAGATCGTGCAACTCCTAAAATGTGTCATACTTTAACAACCAAATATATACCTACCTACATCATTATTTACGTTACCTGTGGTCGATGCAATCTTCAACACAAGCGTAGCAAAATTCATATCTGGAATATCAGACAACATTTGTTTATAATAAACTGCTTTTCGAAGACTGATAAAATGACCCAAATTTAAGCGATTACGTTTTTTCAAAGGAGACAAGCTTGCTTTACTGGTACTTGGAGTTGAATCCATCACTAATACCAGTACACTTAGGACGCGAAATATCAACTTTAGTTCTTATAAGAACTGTTTTTTTTTGTTAAAATTTATGCAAATGGACTCAGAACACACAAAAACTCAAAAATAAGTACAACTGTTACGGACGAGAATCGCGATTAAATTTGACAGTTAAATCATGTCAAAAGCAACTTTACCTGGGTGTAAAACGGGCGCAGCGGGAGCCAATAGAAACTAAGATTTTTTGCGGGAACTTTTAAATCCGTCTTCCTAGAACTTGCCCAAAACCATCCTGCAATAAAAATCTTCCTTTAAAATGAAAAAAACAAAAAATCAAAATCTACAGCGGAAATTTTTCTAAGTTGCATGTTTTTGATTAAATCAGACTATCATTGTATATTCCATGGAACCTGAAAGCAAACCAAGTTACCTTAAGCTTAAGAAAAAGAATGATATTTTTGCGTAAATTTAAAATTAAAAATTTTTATTTGTTACTCAGTTCTAAACGTTCATTAACAAGACAAAACGCAAACGGGTAAACGCTACTGACTTGTAAAACTGACAGCAGACCTGACCTAGTGGCCAGAATGAATGCGAATTACATGGATAACTTAGTTAGTCAATTTCTACGTATTGTTTATTGAGTAACATTGGCCAGATTATCTAGGAGATGACAAGCGCCTAAAGTCAACTTCTCTTATCGCCAGTTCACACCTGGATAAAATACATGTTCAGTACTGTATAATAGTAGGTATAATTTCTTCCGAGAAGTCCCAGATAATAATATACTACCTGAAAGCACCTATCAACCTCATATTCAAAATCTCCTACAACCCTAATGTGATTTTGTCAAAGGTGCCTATTTGAAAGACTGTTATTTAAAATAATCAAGGCAATTGTAGCCCTTGACCTTATAATACCATTTTACCAATTCGGATCCGAGACTCCAAAGGTAGGTATATCTGAGAGTCTGGCGAAATGCACGCTGTTTACGCGCGTATTTTGAATTCGCGTCGTGGTTCTGAACGCTGAACAATGACTAAAACCACTTCTGCCAAGATTGCTTTCGCAGATTCAGAGGGTACCTACCTAAAGGAGTGAATGTACCTTCCAAAGATAAGGGTATAATTAAGCAATTATGTTTGTAGCAGGTATGGATAGATTCGTCTCTAGCTCATTTATTGCGTGACTTTATACAAATCAAACATAATTGCAGAACTTTTAATTCTACCCCTATCTTTAGAGAGTAAATTCGTCCCTTTATAGCATCTGAATCTGCAGTATTTGTGTTAGCAAAAGTGTTTCTTCTTTTTTGCATAATTTTCTAAAAGTTTTCCAGCTTGTTGCAAAAAATAGTTTCAGAACTTATAATCCTACCTCTATTTTTGGAGGATAGATTTGTGCCTTGGGTTTAGCCCCTGAATCTCAAATATCTGGGGTGCACTCGTGAGCTACTCTGTTCCGTGTCGCATCTCTAATTGATTTGAAAGTTTATTTTCGATTTTATGTTTATAGTGAAGTTAATATCCTTATTGTTGAAATACTATGATCTTAAATAAACGAATGGTTCAAGCACAGATACCGTATATCTGTGGTTCAAGGGAGTTCGTTGCCATACTAAGCATTTCCAACCTAGGTGCATCCAACATTTAAGTAGGTACCTACATATAAATAACTACCAAGGATTGGTTTTACAATTTACATTATTTGCATAATATAACACTTCCTTAATTATCTTAGTCATGCACTGATATAATTTAAAAGTAACGGTATCTTAATAGGTACTATCCATTTATTATTTTCCGACAAACCAGTGTCCTGAAGTAAACCCAGATAATAATGATTGCTGAGCCTGGAAAACCACCTAATCAACCCTCATATTCTATAAAGTCTCCTACAACCCTAATGTGATTCTGTCAAAGGTACCTATTTGAAAGACTGTTATTTAAAATAATCAAGGCAATTGTAGCCCTTGACCTTATAATACCATTTTACCAATTCGGATCCGAGACTCCAAAGGTATATCTGAGAGTCTGGCGAAATGCACGCTGTTTACGCGCGTATTTTGAATTCGCGTCGTGGTTCTGAACGCTGAACAATGACTAAAACCACTTCTGCCAAGATTGGTTTCGCAGATTCAGAGGGTACCTACCTAAAGGAGTGAATGTACCTTCCAAAGATAAGGGTATAATTAAGCAATTATGTTTGTAGCAGGTATGGATAGATTCGTCTCTACCTCATTTATTGCGTGACTTTATACATATCAAACATAATTGCAGAACTTTTAATTCTACCCCTATCTTTAGAGAGTAAATTCGTCCCTTTATAGCATCTGAATCTGCAATATTTGTGTTAGCAAAAGTGTTTCTTCTTTTTTGCATAATTTTCTAAAAGTTTTCCAGCCTGTTGCAAAAAATAGTTTCAGAAGTTATAATCCTACCCCTATTTTTGGAGGATAGATTTGTGCCTTGGGTTTAGCCCCTGAATCTCAAATATCTGGGGTGCACTCGTGAGCTACTCCGTTCCGTGTCGCATCTCTAATTGATTTGAAAGTTTATTTTCGATTTTATGTTTATAGTGAAGTTAATATCCTTATTGTTGAAATACTATGTTCTTAAATAAACGAATGGTTCAAGCACAGATACCGTATATCTGTGGTTCAAGGGAGTTCGTTGCCATACTAAGAATTTCCAACCTAGGTGCATCCAACATTTAAGTAGGTACATATAAATAACTACCAAGGATTGGTTTTACAATTTACATTATTTGCATAATATAACACCTTCCTTAATTATCTTAGTCGTAATAATTATAAAATAAGATTAATATGCGAAGAATATAACCAATGGATAGTCTCCCAAGAATCCATTTAAAATGTCTAACAAAGAGTTGACCAATCACAGCCAAAATTCCATAAATCAAAAATTAAATTTTACTGTGCGTTCCAATTTCAATTCGTGATAGCCTTTTTCGTCGTGCGTTTTTGGTAGTTTAAGCGTAGTTTACAATCCATGGCAACGATTATTGCGACAATGGTTACTCGGCTTAACTTTGTCGATGCAAACGTTCATTTTTAGTGTCCTGATTCCTAATTTCCTACAATATCTAAGGTAGATCTTTTACTTTTACAATCTAACATTATTTCATACATAAGTATTGTACCTAGGTATATCAAATATCCTCGACCATTGTCTAATCTCTCAGCAATTTCCAATCACACTTTTGAAAAGGGTCTGGAGGAACTCTATCTTTCTGTGTCGGGTTCCAATTTATGATTTATTTAGTGTCCCACCTTCTCCACCACTTTCCATTCTTATCCTCTAGGTTCGGGGCTGCTATAATAGCTATTTATGTTACAAGTACATAATCTATGACTTTATTGGACGAGTCGACTTTATATGAAAAAGACGAGATAATAAAGTCTGATTATGTACGAGTAACATACTTAGCTTTATGTTCGACTCGGAAAATGTAGTTCATGTATGTATTGAAAATTTGCTGAAACTTGGTATAGATTTCACTATTTAATAACCAGAAATAACATAGTGTGCCTTTTGTGTTGTCATAGATACGTGTTGTTTGGAAAAAAATCTGTTGATGTGTAGTGTCAATTTTGTTGGGTATTAACTAATTCTCTGTGCCTAATTATGAATCCAGAAGAAATTGATGGGTCCAACAGTATACAACAATTAGCCTGCAATGCCAGAGAGATGCTTTTACCAAGCAAATCAAAAACTGTATACGAGGCGGCATACAGGGAATACAGAAGGTGGTACTGGGGGAAGAAAATCAATTGCACCACGGAAGACTGTATATTGGCGTACTTTAATAGTGAGTTGGTCTCCTATAAAAGTTCTTCTTTATGGAGTAAGTACTCGATGTTACGATCGACAATTAATTTAA